GGAGCAGAACCACCGCCAGGCAGTGCCTCCTACTCCTAACCCGGCCAGCCCATCCAGAAGGATATCATGGAAGATGGTATTGAAAGCCGCTGAGAGGTCCTGGAGAACCAACAGGAATGCATCCCCCCCACCCCTTTCCCTGCATAGGTCATTGTACAGGGCAACCAAGGCAGATTCAGTACCATAACCAGGTCTGAAGCCGATAATCCGTTTCATCCAAGAGTGCTTGGAGTTTTCCTGTCACCACCCACTCTAACACCATGCCCAAAAAGGGAATGTCGGCCACCAGTCTAAAGTTGGTGGCCACCTCTGGGTCCAGAGATGCCTTCTTCAGGATAGACTGGATCCCCACTTCCTTCAAGGGGGCAGGGACCCGGCCCTCCCTCAGTGAGGCATTGACAACCTCCTGGACCCAGGGACCAATCCCATGACTGGCTTCTTTAAGTAGCCAAGAGGGGCAAGGGTCAAGAAGACAGGTGGTAGGATGTACCATCCCAAGCACCTTGTCCATATCATCAGGCCGCATTAACTGAAACTCATCCAATAATAATGGACCAGAGGGCACTCTGGACACTTCCCGTACTGGAGCCATATCAACTGTGGAGTCCAGATCATGGTGAATCTGAGCGATTTTTTCCTTAAAGTGCTGGGCAAAGCCATCACAGCAGGCTGCCGAAAGTGCAACCATATCATTTTCCCAGCCACAGTGTGTCAGGCCTCACTCTACTCGGAAGCGCTCTACTCGGAAAAGCTGAAAAATCCCAGTTGTTGTAGGGAAGAGCTGCCTGCTCCAGCTGTCTGATTGTTTTAGTTGAAAATGATGTGTCCACAGTAAGTTCTTTCATTTTTGCTTCTAGAGAACATTCCGGCTTGATTTGATCTAACACCCACTTGATCATCTTTCTGTTGGTCCAGGGTATTCACAAAGCTCTCCTCCAGCACCATGTTTTGAAAACTTCAATTTTCTTCCAGTCATCTTTCTTCACTGTGCAGCTTCCACGCCCATACATAATCTTCAGGAATACAACCTTGTGAATGATTTTGGCCTTGATCTTTAGTGAAACATCCTTGCATTTTATGATCTTTTCTAGTTCCTTCATTGCTGCCCTTTCAAAAAATTAATGCCCTTCCTGTTTTATCACCCTTTTTTGGTGATGCATTTTTTTTCTTTATTGGAGATGTGTGAGTGGTCAACAAAGCGGTACCAAATATTTCTGTTCTTTCTCCTTTCCTTCCTCTAAACTATCAAGTTGGTTGTTCCAAGGACAGCTGTAAGGAGCCAACATGGTTGTGCAGAAAAATGACCGAGACTTGGGATGTCTTAGCAATATCTATGTGTTGCTAAGCAAATGCAAAAGAAGCTGGGATATAGGGAGACAATATTAGACCTAATGCATGATGACCAGCTCCCAAGACAAACATTCACCATTACAGCCCCTGTTCCTGGAATTATATCTTGCCAACCAGAATCCTCCTAGTGACCCTCAGAACTAGTTCTGCTTTGTCTGTCTCTTTCTGGTCCGATTCCAGAGTTGCAAAATTTGTTTCAAATGACATTTGGGCAGAAGTGGCATGACAAACATTCCAACATTTGTGCCGCTGCCAGAAAAGGTTGCCGGTTTATTTTTTGCCAGTACTTCTGTTGCTGCATGACCTTTCTTAATTACTTCATCAACAAACATTAGCACACAAATATATAAATAGATTATTTCCCTAGATATTCCCAATAGTTTTCCTTTCTTGAGTTTCAGACATAAATGTTATCTGCTTTTACAGAGACTTTTCTCCACAAAATGAAGACTACATTTTCAAAGATAGAATTGTTCTGGCAAGTCCTTTTTACTAAAAGCCATTGGAGTTGCTATTTTAAATAAGCTGCTGTCAATCTCTGATCAAATCAAACATTTTTCTTTCTAAAAATCTGCTGTGCTTTAGGAACCTATTAAACAAAAGATGTGGCTGACTGCAGCTTTCTGACCGGTGAGAAATCTGCAGGAATTTGCATAATCCGAACACAATAAACACTGCAGCAAGCTTTATTTTAATTCATTTTCCCCTAAGATTGGCAGAGAATGGGGGGGGGGGGAGTTGATAGCCGTGTGATTTATTTCCTTAATGGGCATCCTTTTCCATTGGTTAAGTGGTAATAAAGAGAATGTTCTGGGAACCTTCTTCCTTCCGTGCATTTATCAAGTGCTTTGCCTTAGTCCTGGGTACTAATGCCAAGTAAAACTAGGTGGGCAGCACTCTTTTGGCCAAGTTGCCACAGGTATGTCATGAAGTCTGAGCTGTGCTAATACCACTAATGTGTGTTGCTATACATGCATGCCGCTGCCTGTATTTTCAGAGGCTCGTCTTGCTTCTGGGTGACTGAGGTGGAGAGGGTCCGAGTGGATGTAGTCACGGCTTCAGGGTAAAACTAAGCCAGCTCATCCTCCTACTGCTGTCCATATGTCCACAAGCCACCATTGCCCATGCTATAGGCTAGTTATGCGTGGCTTACGGTGATAGCCAGAGGCAAAGGATGACTCTGTGTGTGTGGGGGGGGGGGGTGAGAGGGAGAGAGAGAATTTCATCGAATGCACAAATACAGAAACCCAGTGCTAAACAAAAATTGCAAAAAGAAAAAAAAGTGTTCTGAGGAACCCAAAAGCTCACCTTCCGGCATTTTGAAAATTATTTTGTTTAACTAAGAAAGAAGGAGACAGCTATGACAGGACTCCATCTCCTCCAGCTCTCCAAGTGTTCCTTCAGGTCATAGCGTTGCCTGTCTTGTCCACAGGGTGTCACCCATCCCTTTCTCTCTGAAGGTATCAGAGAGAAAGGTGTCCCTGCCATGCAGTGTACACAGAATTGAGAATTGCTGTGAGTCAGGCCTGAGTTGACTCCATGAGAAGCATTAATATGTAGGAAATGGTGTCAAGCCATTACATTTATTGCCAAACAATAAAAACAAGAAGGTTAACATGAGGACATTAAACTACATGTACATCAGTTGAAAAGATGCATTTTTACATCTCTTCTAAAGCCAAGAGAGAAGAAGTCATTCCATCAATTAGGAGAGATACAAGAAAAAGTGCTTTTCTTTATGCCAGTGTAGGTAAAGTTGCCCTCAAGACAACCTCCCCTGCAGGTCTGAAAACATGAGCATGCTCACAGTGATGCACGTAGTCCTTTAGCTATTCAGGTCCTGAGCTTTTCAGTGTGCTGGGAGTGTGGCTTTTTTCTGTCTAAACAGGTATAGGATCGTGTCCTTAGGGCTTTGAAGGTTGAACAATGTGCTCATTTTTTTCTCTCGTCCTTTCAACCATCTCCCTCCCACATTCACTGGAGGAAGCCGGATGCTGGGGTGCTGTTTTCTGTGCAAAGAAGGTGACAGATGGAAGGAGCAGGGGGGAAAGAGAGGTTGGAAAAGCCACCACTGCTGCTTCTTCAATCCAACAGGCAGTTTAAAGGGATTGAGGGAATTTCCATTGCAGCTTGGCAGTCGGAGGCATGAATTACGTGATATCACATTTTCTGAATTGTCTGGTTTAATCCAGCAAAGGAGAAACCTCAGTGGCCTGTAGTTTGTTTCAGGCAGGTCGGGCAGGTAGTCATACGTGACGCAAGCAGAAGACAGCAACCTATGCTGTTTTTATGCCAAATATCTTATCCCCTGGGCCCCAAATTGCTTGCCAGGCTGACCTGGCCACTGACAACCAGGCCTGCTTCTGCCAGGGTTGTATCTCTGTATCCAGGTAGTGTTGAAATGCTCTCTGTCCAAGGGGCAGATTCCATTTTGAGGGCATTCCCGTGTGCAAGAGGGTTTCCTTCCAGTGGTGGGAAGCACTAAAGGCAAAACAGGTGGGGCTAAAAAAAAAGGATATTTTAGTGAGAGCCAGTGTAGTAGAGCAGTGGTTGAGGTGCCAGACTGAGTATGTGGGAGGCTTAGGTTCTACTCCGCACTCAGCCCTAAAGCCTGTGGGGTGGACTTGTGCCAGTCTCAGCCTAACCTACCTCACAGGGTTGTTGTGTGGATAAAATGGAACTATGTAAGCTACCTTGGGTTCCTTGCAAGAGGAAAAAAGGTGGAATTTAAATGCAATGTAATAATAATAATAGTTTAAAGCTCTTATTGCTAGTAACTATGGGCTTTTCTACTACACAAGGCTGCTAATAAGCACAGTGACTTTCAGTTTTGTCACAGCATGAACTGAGAGCCAAGCCCTATGCCGGGGTGGCCAGACTTGCTCAATGGAAGAGCCACCTGTGGTGAATGTCAGATGTTTGAGAGTTGCAAGCGGGTGCCTGCAGGTGGCAACAGCAGGCAGCAAGCAGCAGGCCCCAAAATAAACTCAAAGAGCCACATGCGGCTCCCGAGCCTCAGTTTGGCCTCCCCTGCTCTGCACAAACAACTCTTCCTTTTCTGCTTTTCCACTGCATAACCTCTAGGTGGAGCTGTGCTTTAGTGCAACAGCTCAAATACACATACAACAGCATTTCCCCACTGCTAATATAACACTGCAGTTTCTCCCTTCTTAAAAAAAGAAGGCGGGGGAATGGGGGATGGGACCATGTTATGAAAATAACAGAAACAATACTGGAGGTTTACAATCTTGTGTAAAGAGCCTGCAGTTTTGTCTAAACAACTTCGATGAAGAAATTTGAGTTCACAATACATTCTTCATGTGGAAAAGCTTTAAGTCTTAGGAGACACGTATCAATTTTGCAGAATGGGAGGAAAACAGCACACAGGCTAGGAAACCACCCCGTGATCTGCAGCTGAGGGTAAGAGACCAGGGTCTTCTAGGGAGACCTGGAGGGCCAGACTAGGACTCCAAGCCTGGGGTTCTGCACCCATGCTATGAAGCATCCTGGCTGAAATGGAGCTTAAGGGCAGGCCTAGCCCTGCACTAAGTAATATGCGGACAATTCCCCAGAATCCTATGTGGCTTTTCTACCAAAGTTCTATATTACAGATTTCTAAGAGCATAATAGCAACCCGAGGAAATAACTTTGGTAAGGAACATCTGTCTGCGGTGGTCCATGGCTTGGCTTTTGTCTGCTTAGAGCCAAATGCTTTTTGCAGGAGGAAGAGGCAAAGATGGAGCCCCGATCATCACTTTTCCTGAATATGCAGGTTTCAGTGAAATCCCTAACGAAGATTTTCTGAATGTCGTGACGTATTTAACTAGCATTCCCAGGTAAGTCGCAAATCTGTTACAATCTTTTCCAGCACTTTTGGGAATCACTAATTCTTTCAGGATGCCTGCCGATGGCCCGTTTCGCATTCAGTCTCCTCTTTCACATGCCCAATGGTGCGTGCAGGAAACTGTAATCTGCAGAGATCCTGGTCCTTGTCAGACACCTCACTTGATAGGGCTTATAACTTGTTGGGAATTATGTTTCTTTTGGGAGCTGGGTCCAAAATGGGGTGTTTTTAAAAAAATCTATTATGGATAGATTCTGTTCATCCTTTTGTGAAGGCAAATTGGTATATCTGAACAAAATTCAAACTGAAAATGAAATTTGTTTGTGAATCTCAGTCTAAGTTTGTACTTGTTTAGACTAGTGAGAAAAACAAGCACACATGAATTGTATTTCAGAAATAAGTACTTACGGGTCTTGTCTACATATTTGTATATTCACATCACTTACTACCAAACCTTTCTGGGCTGAATTTGTTGCTGACTAATGTGGGAGTCACATCTGTAATATTTACATCTATATTTAAGGGGATGCCTTGGGGGTTATTTAAGTTGCTGCTCCTTTGCCTTCTTTGAGACTATGGTGTGATATGCGATCTATTCTGATCTATCAAAGGACCTCTACAGTGTGTGGAACAGAAAGCTATGACCAAAACCAGCGTACTTTTCTCAAGATCTCCCCTGAAAAATGTAGAATATTTTCACCCTGAGTTGTGATAGCATCAGCATGATAAGACATGTTTAGAGTATGTTTATCAGTTGCAGTGGCAGACTTTACACAAATATCCCTCTGCGTCATGAGGAATGAATAATTGTGGATTTGTGTTGCTAGTGACTGTTGTAGTGACATATGTGTTAGCTGCTGGATTTCTGACACGGCAGAAGCACGTAATGCAGCTTTATGTGGTGTTCTGTTAAGAATATCTGTAATGAACAGTATTCTGTTTGAGAGGTTTTAATGTGCTTGCTGGTCCCTTTTTGAGCTAACATTCCCTGCTCTTCCAGCGTGCTTGGCAGATGATTGAGACTTACCTTGTGTCCTTTGCTTCCTCTGTGCCAAAATGTTTCTCACTGAAACCAGGCTTGTGTTGCTGACAATGAGAGACCCAAAGATAAGGGATCAGAAATAGCTGTCACCATGGGTTATGGCATGGCTTGTTTAAACCTTGCATGTGATTGGTTGCAGTTATATTTGGCATGTATTTCCTGCTTGCAGTAGCTCCCACAGTAGCTTCTCATGCCACAAGATTCAAAACACATTCAACTTGGTTTTGAACCCTTTGATGGAAAAAGCTGCTAGGGTGTGTGTTTGCATGATTATGAGAGGAAAATTGTTTCTTTACTTTAATCCCTGATTCTCAAATCTAGTGCTCCTAAAAGTAAATAAGTTCCAAGATATTCAGGGTTTCTATATGAGGGTTGGGGATCAGCATTTCTGCAAGAGATAGTCTTCTCCCATATACGCTCACTACAGTCTTAGTGGGTGGAGAAGCTGCCTTTGCCTCAATCTGAAGGATTCCATCTGGTAGCAAGAAGGCAGCTGGCCTTCTCTACAGAGGGACCCTCACCCCACAACAACTTCCTCTCTGTGATACGTCAGGCACTGACAACCATATGCTGTCAATGATGGCTGAAAATTAAGTTGCTTCCCATGGTTTTCCTAGTCATTCACTTTCCTAAGGGATGGAGCTAACTGGGTCAGCCAGACCCATAGCCCAGCCTACCTCACAGGGTTGTTATTGTGAGGATAAGATTGAAAGGCGGAGGAGGATTGACTAAGTTGTCTTGAATTCCTTGAAAAGAAAAAAAAATGCAGGCTATAAATATAATAAATAAGGGGCAGTCCTATGCATGCTGAGATGGAATAAAGGCCTACAGCTCCCATCATGTTGGCAGCCAGCAATATAGGTATTTTTTCTGTCTGAACATGCATATAAATGTTGTGATGCTTTTAAGTATGGATTGTTCTGTGATGTGTTGTGAATCACTTCTGGATTTTTCAAAAAAGGAAATGGGATGTACGTGTTCCTAAATAAATGGACCACGTGACATTATTCCCTGCTGAAAGCTTCTATTTTAGAATGTTCAATTGAAACTGTATTATTTGCTTACCTTTGCTTTCTGCCTAAAACTATACTTTTTAGTAAGATCTCAAGTAACTAAAGTAAGAGCTGGGGGCTCCTGGATTACCCATTCCCTCCTGAAATTCCAAGCATCATCTACCTTGAACACCAAACGATATGAATCTCTCTCGTTTAGCCTCTTAAGTGCAACTCTGAGTTCCTGGTTTTCTTACAAGAGTTCCAGTGATAGGGTGGGCAGCTGCAGGGGTGAGAGGCAGGGGACATTATCATAGAATAGTAGAGCCAGTGGGCCACGGTGTCCAATCCGCTGCTCACTGCAGGACACCAAGTTAAACCCTCCCTCTCCAGTGGCTGTCCAGTTGCATCTTGAATGCCTCTAGTTATGGAAGAGCTCACAACCTCCCGGGGAGCTTGGCTTCATTGCCGTACAGCGTAAAGATGGGATTCCTACAATCCGCCTTGAAATGGAAGGAAGATGGTTCTTCCTGTGGGTGATCAGACCTGATTTGCATGCTATATTACATACATAGCATATCACCAATCCTAACTTTTCACTTTACGGTGAGCATGTAGTCCTACTCTGGAGCCACCACTCCTGGGTGCAGGGATTAAACCTTCCCACTCAGCCATTTCCCATCCATACCTGGTCACTCACTTCCCAGCACTGAGGATCAAGACAAGAAAAAATCGGATTCCCTCCTGCACTGGGTCAATGGGGAACCCTCTGCCTGGTCCAAGCCATGCCCAGTGGGTTAAATCAGAACCTTGGATGCTTCTGGGAAGCTTTAAAAGGGGATTAGCCACATGCTGTGCAATTAATGTAGCATGTAGTTGTTGGGAGAGAGAAGGATGGCGGTCTTAGGCAATTGCTCTCATGGACTGCTGGCTGCCTCCAGGTAGTTCAGAATCAGAATGTGAAAATGTCTTTATCGGATGTTTCCTGCAATCCCATCTTTAGTTCAAGGGAGGTACTTCCATGCATCACCAGGAAGCTGCCTCCTGTAGGAACCCTTTCTTAGAAGCGCTGAGAATGGGAATCCGTGGGAAGTTCAACTTCCACGCACTCTTATTTATGTATGCTGGAAACAAACAGTGATTTCGTGCTGTACCACTGCCTGCCCACAGAATGCCATCCACATGGCTGATCAGGTCCAGGAACTGGCATCGGATCTGTTCAGTTCCGCAGTTGCTTTATATATGCATATCATATTCAAATGTGATAACCAGAGCTGTGACAGGTGTGTTGGGTGGACTGAGAAGGGAGGCACCGTCTGGAGGAATGAGATTGTGCAGAGAGGCCCAGTTCTTTTAATGAGTCCGTGAAATCTCTGTTTACCAGCAGGAAGCACAGAGAGGATGCCAATCTGTTCACATTGCCATAGTTTGGAGAATCTGCAGCAAAGCTGCTGATGCAATCTTGTAGATAAAATATTCATGTTTTGTGGAAGATGCTATACCTGATCCTGGGACGGCAGTGTGGGGCGGGGGGTGGGGGGGAGGAAGAAACACAGCGCAAGAAAATATTGTTTTGCCTCTCCCTGTTCATGTAGTTGGAGGTTTAGTTGATGCTCTTGCCTCTCTCCTGCTTGTTAATAACGAGTCTGGAGCGCGCCATGAGAGCTGTGATGTTTTTGGTGCAGCACTGCTGCTTGTAACGGGGCTGCTCCTGTGTAACCCCACATACCTGCTTTGGACATTTTGCAGTCTGGAGGCTGCCAGCATCGGATTCATCATCATCATAGACAGACGGCGGGACAAATGGAGTGCGGTCAAGGCTTCCCTCACCCGTATAGCCGTAAGTCCCTGCACCGTATTTAATTATCGCGCTGCCCTTTGTCTTCTGAAAATTGCCATTTGGATACGATGTATTGTGGAATTTTACCGAGGCTGGTGCTCTTTTGGTTCCTCTTGCGGTTGCGTTTCCTTCCCTGCCCTACGGATGACTACAGCCGTTGCATGCCGAGAAGCAAATGTTTCCAAGGCAAAGAAATATGGATAGATACCTGCCTTGTTTCCCCCTGAATGCGAATGAAACTGCTCCGGCGAAGCACAGAAAAGGGCATGCTTATTTTCGCAGGGGCACTGTGCAGACGGCTTTACAGTTCCAATCTTATGAAGAGCTGGGTGGTGTACTGACTAACAGGGTCAGCTAAGGACAGCTGCCCCCTCCCCATTCCCCAGCTCAAGCAAGCTTCTGTATTTCCGCCTCGTTTCTCCCTGGAAAGGCAAAATAGGAATGGTAACACTGACAGATCTTAACAGGCTGGTAAAACTCACCGAGGTCCAAACTAGAGATGAGACAGGAGGCACAGGGAGCCATCTCTCCAGAATTTTTTTTTAAAGAAGCCACAGGGGCCGCAGCTGGTGGGGCACTTACCTCCTTCCCTGGAAACAGAGTTCCCAGTTATCCCCCACAGACCCACTGCTGCTTTTCCACCCAGAGAGATCAGGTACATTTAATTTTAGGGAGGAAAAATTATTTATTTATTTATTTATTTATTTATTAAAACATTTTTATGCCGCCCCATTCACCGAAGCCTCGGGGCGGCTTACAACAATAAGTTAAAATAATTATAATATAAATCAAAAATATAAACATTAAATTAAAAATACAGTATAAAATAAGCCGCCCTGGCCAGATAAAATCCAATAATATTAACAGTTAAAATGCCGCTTGAATAAAAAGGTCTTCGCCTGGCGCCGAAAAACAAATAACGACAGCGCCAGGCGGACCTCTCTGGGGAGCGCGTTCCATAACTTTGGCGCCACCGCAGAGAAAGCCCTCCTCCGAGTCCCCACCCTCCTGATTTCTTTCACGGAGGGTTCCCGGAGAAGGGTCTCCCCCGCCGATCTCAAGGGGCGGCTGGGCATATATGGATGCAAGCGCTCCTTCATAGCCCAACCTGGCTGTTTTTACTGTGGAAGTGGCTGTGGAGAAGGGGCACTCCCTTCCGTCCCATGCCACGGCTCTAATCCAATCCGGAACCTGTCAGAGTAGCATGAAAATAAAAAATGAAAAGCATTGGAAGACACATCACGTATCTTCCGTCCTGCATCCTTGCTTTGGGTGCAGAAGGGCCTCTTTCCAATGCTTGGCACCTCTGGTTAACAGGGTCCTAATCCTGCATATCAGGACTTGGACTTTGCTAAGCAGCTGCTTAAGAGATTAGACAACCCTTTACTTTCTTAGGGTGCAATCCTGTGCATGTTTTGACAGCAAAAAGTCCTACAACTCCTGCAGCAGCATCCCTGTGGTACCCACTGTTTGGCCCTTTATTCCTACTCTGTGCTTTCTGGCCTTTAACCAGTTACTGATCCATACAAGGGCCTCGTCCTCTTATTCTGTGTCTCAGTTTTTGGTGGGTAACCTTGTCAAAAGCCTTTTGGAAGTCCAAGTAAACAAAGTCTATTAGATCACCCCATCCACATGTTTATTGATGTTCTCAGAGGATTTCCAGAGACTAGAGAAATAGGACTTAACTTCTGAAGGCCATGTTGATTTTTCAGCAGGGCTTTTCCATCTATATACTTAGAATTTTAAGTTTAATCATGCTTTCCGCCAATGTTCCTGCAACCTAACCAGCCTATAATTGGATCCTTTTAAAAATCAGTATATTGACTATTCTACAGTCATTAGATACAGAGGCTGATCTTAGGGACATATTACATATTTTTGTTAGTAGATCAGCAAATTTTAAATATCTTATGTAAATTTATATATTTAAGAACACTAGGATGGATGGTATTTGGGCTTGGTGATTTGTACCTTCCAATATATCAAAGCTGAGAAGTCATTTTTTACCAGTCTTTTGCTCACTTCTGTGTCAGTTCCAGGACTAGGATGACTTGGTACCAGTTGGTTTCCAATATTCCTATGTAAAGCAGTTTCATATATTCAGAAAATACGAGCAAGACACATTGCTAAGAAACATTAGGCATGCCTCTTTCTGGGCCTTCCTTCAACTGAAGATCTGAAGAAATTAATAAAGTCACAATACTTTACTGAATCAGTCTATCAAAATGAGAGGATGTCTGTCTGTTACTGATTTGACTCCAAGATCATGAGCCTTTAACACTTGAAACTTGGTTAGTGTTACAGGGATCTTAGAGGTGTCTGCATTGAGTTTGTTTAGTTTTCAAGTAATTAATTTTGGTTTTGTAGTAATTAATTTAAATATACCGGTGTATTTGGAGTCTGCAGTACCATCTTCACTCACTAGGTAACAGACATCCCTAATCAGGGCACCAATTTGTTAAAAAAACATTTTGAAGTTGGGAATTTGTAGTCCCAAGGGACAGAGTTATATGGCTGCCTCTTTCCCACTATGCTCCCCCCTCCCCCAACCCAGGGAATGGAGTAGATAAACCCTTCCTTTGGGAACCTATAAGACACTGTACCAGTTGATTTGGCTTCCCATAGGCAGGGGAGAAACACTGTCCAACTTTGACATCTATAAAAGTTTGTTTGAAGGCTTTATCAAACTAAGGGCTATTCCTTCCTGTGTGAAGCCAGATCCATTTGCTAGTTAAAATAAAAGTTCTCTTCTTCCTGGAGTCATGTGGACTAGTGACTTGGTTTACCTGAGTTTCAGGATTTTTTTCCTGGCTATCTGGAGTGTTCACAGATGCTTCATAGCAGCATGGCTTCAGGAGCACCACAGCCCTATCCTTAACCTCAGTGGTGTTTGTTTCTTATGTCCTCTGTTGTCATCTCTTCTAGGGAGCATTTCCGGGAAACTTGCAGTTGGTTTTTGTCCTGCGACCATCCCGGTTCATCCAAAGGGCAATCGCTGACATTGGCATCAAACTGTATCGCGATGACTTTAAAATGAAGGTACCGGTAAGCACTTTTTTACTGTTGGAACCTGTGTCTGTGTGCGTGCGTGCGTGCATATTTTCATTTTTTCAAGTGCCAGTGAACTTCTCTCCTCTCCTTCTCATCCCCTTTGAAATTGCACCTGTCAGAGCTAAGTCATTAATCAAGCAAAAATAAGATGCAATTGTTTTTCATTCATATGGAACTCAGTTGCAGAATTAAATGAAATCCTATGCAAGTTTAGAGAGAAAAAAGCCCTACAAGTGTAGAAAAACATGGATTTTTTCTGTCTGAACATGCATAGGGTTGCATTCTATGGCAGTGGAATCCTGCGCTTTAATTATATGCAGGATATGTGTTTGTGTGTGTGCCATATTTTTGAATATTCCCCTGCATGTAAAAACAAAACCCTAGCCCATCATTGGAAAAGATTAAATGTAGCCAGCCCCCTATTGTGTTAATTTTCTACAAGACGGCATTTTGATGTTGTTGTTAGTTGTGAAGTCATGTCCGACCCATCGCAACCCCATGGGCATCACTCCTCCCGGCCTTCCTGTCCTCCACCATCCCCCAGAGTCCACCCAAGCTCAAACCAACTGCCCCAGTGACTCCATCCAGCCACCCCATCCTCTGCCGTCCCTTCTTCTATCTATCTATCTATCTATCTATCTATCTATCTATCTATCCATCCATCCATCCATCCATCCATCCATCCATCTATCTTTCTAAACCTATGACGCCCCATTTGCAAAAAGCCTTGGGGCAGCTTACAACATTAATAAATAGACATAAATAAACAGTTATATAATTAGACTTAAAAAAATGGAAACATCTCGGCACATACATAAAAATCCAATAAATACAGTTCATAAATTAACAATTTAAACAACTTTTAAATAAAAAGGTCTTGGCCTGGCGCCGAAAAATAACGACGGCGCCAGGCAGACCTCTCTGGGGAGCACATTCCATAGGTGGGGCGCCACCACAGAGAAGGCCCTCCTCCGGGTACTCACTCTCCTAATATCTTTCACGGAGGGTTCCCGGAGAAGGGCCTCTGCTGCCGAACTTAAGGGGCAGGAGGGCATATATGGACGCAAGCATTCCTTTAGATAACCAGATCCCAAGCCGTTTAGGGCTTTATAGGTGATAACCAACACCTTGAATTGGGCCTGGACTTCAATGGGGAGCCAGTGAAGCTGACGGAGAACTGGGGTTATAGGAGAACAATGCCCAGTCCCTGTCAGCAACCTGGCAGCTCTATTCTGCACCAACTGAAGTATCCGGACTGTCTTCAAGGGTAGCCCCATGTAGAGTGCGTTACAGAAGTCTAATCGGGAAGTTACCAGTGCATGTGTCACTGTCGCCAGGCAATCGTTCTCCAGGTAGGGATGCAGCTGATGGATCAGATGAAGCTGAAGGAAAGCGCTCCTCGCCACCGCCGTCACCTGAGCTTCTAATGACAGCTCAGGGTCGAGGAGCACTCCCAAGCTGCGAACCTTGTCCCTAAGAGGGAGTGCAACCCCATTCAGGACAAGGTCCAGGTCCCCCACCCCGAAGCCCGAACCACCTACCAACAGGACCTCTGTCTTGTCTGGAATGAGTTTCAGTTTATTGGCACTCATCCAGCCCATTACCTCGGCCAGGCACCGGTTCAGTACAGCCACTGCCTCACCTGCATTGGTTGAAAATGAGAGGTAGAGCTGGGTATCATCAACGTACTGAAGATTCTGCAGCCCACATCTCCTAATGACCTCTCCCAGCGGTTTCATGTAGATGTTGAATAGCAAGAGGGACAAAATGGACCCCTGCAGAACTCCATGGCATAACTGCCATGGTGCAGAGCCATAGTCCCCCAGCACCACCTTCTGGAACCGGCCATTGAGATAGGAGCGGAACCACTGCAAAGCAGTGCCTCCAACTCCCAGTCCTGCTAGCCTATCCAGAAGGATACCATGGTCAATGGTATCAAAAGCCGCTGAGAGGTCCAGGAGAACCAACAGGGATGCAGGTCATCATAGAGGGCGACCAAGGCAGATTCAGTACCGTACCGGGCTCTGAAGCCGGACTGAAATGGGTCCAGATAATCTTTTGCCCTCAATTGTTCCCAGCATCAGGCTCTTCTCCAGGGAGTCCCTCCTTCTCATTAGGTGGCCAAAGTATTTGAGTTTCATCTTCAGTATCTGGCTCTCTAAAGAGCAGTCAGGGTTGATCTCCTCTAAGACTGACTGGTTTGATTGCCTTGCAGTCCAAGGGACTCTCGGGAGTCTTCTGCAGCACCAACAAGAAGGAAATACTTGGCAGTATCAAACACCAGCCCCTCTGTGTGAAATCCAGTCAGTTATAATGGGCTGCCTTCGACAGGCATTGTGATCACAGACCAGCCCATAACTGACCATTCATACTTTTATCCGTCCTGTTACGAGCTCCAGTTTCTGCTTAGTGGCTTTAGTGGCAGCAGCACAATCAGGAACGTTCTTGTTTCTTCACAACTTAAGGTAAGTCGGAGCAGGAAGCCCTTAGGAGCTGTGCCCCACTTACTTTCAGAAGGTCCCAAACCCCTCTGCAGCACCAGTTTTTTGCTACATGCTCAAGCAATTGACTTCTTGAAGGGTAGAGCTACTTAAGCAGGCCTTAGGAGGAAGCGGGGGATGCAATATACTCCTAGGATCCCTTTTAAAAAAGGAAAAGGACTCAAGGCAATTTACAAGAAAGCATATGCATTTAAAACAGCAACAACAATTATCAATTAAAACACAACCATTCTGCAGAACGAGTAAAACATCAGGGACAATGCATTAAATAGCATATGGTAAATCATCAAATGACTGGGAATATTGAAAAATCTGGCACAGTAAAGCCAACACAGTGGATGTCAGGTGGGCCTTGCTGGGGAGTGCATTCCATAATCAACCTCCACCAAGAAGGTCCTCTCCCTTGTTGCTCTCCTCTAAACCTCCCTCAGGGAACAGCTTCCCATGTTGATTGCAGGGTATGGGGAGAGTCACACTGGGAGCAGTGCCCTTTCAGGATTAATTAACTTCTTGGATTTTTGCCTGTTTTATTTATTTATTATTATTTATTTATTAAATTTCTAACCTGCCCTATTAGCCATATAGCTGCCTGGGCAGGTTACAGCAACAAAATACAAAATAGAATAAAATACAGATTAAAATACAATATAAAACAACAATTACAAATAAAAACATTAAAACTGATAGAATATATTTATCATGAGCACTCAGGAGTAAAGAATGCAAGGAGCTACCTTAAACTTGGTTGGACTTTACTAAGCAGTCAGAGTCTTGGGGAAAATAGAATGCGCAGGACTCTGAGGACAGTCATTGAGAAAAAGAAAACAGTGAAGAGCTTTCTACAAAGCAGATGTACACCTTGCCACCCATTTTTCATGAGCAAGAATCTCAGATGCCTTTGCTTGTCTTCCATAGCTTGTCCTTTGACAGCTGTCCCTGGCTGTCAAACTTTGGCAGAGATCACTGACTGTTAAACTGGAAATTGCAATTTCTGAAACAAAAACGTTTATCTGCCCGACACCCTGTGGGTTGTTGGGCCAACAACCAACCCACTGTGGCTTATTTCCAGATGGGACTGTGTGGTATCTGAATATGCCCACAGTGTGAGGTATTTAAGAACTCTTTGCTTATAAACATCATTTAAATTTTTTATTCATTTTCATTTTTATATACCACTCCATTCCCTTAGACTCTGGGTGGTTTAGAAGTGAATTAAAACCAACAACAATAAATCAGCAATGATAATAAATGCATATATTTCCACTGAGAGCCAGTGCGGTGTAGTGGTTAAGAGCATGGGACTGGGACTCAGACGATCTGGGTTCAAGTCCCCGCTCAGCCATGGAGCCAACTGGGTGACTTTGGGCCAGTCACAGACTCTCAGCCCAACCTACCTCACAGGGTTGTTGTTGTTGTGGGGATAAGATGGAGAAGGAGAATAATGTCAGCTGCCTTGAGCCCTTTGTAGGAAAAAGGCAGGATATTAATAAAAAATAAATAAATAAAATAAATTTCCCCCCACAATTGTATGTTATGGTTTATTGGCATATTTTTTAAAATGAAAAGCAGTCTGCGAGGCCGCAGTCAACGCTCTTCCTTCTTCCTGTTTGTCCACTGAAAATTGCTTGCCAGAAGCAGCTGTTACTGGAAAAAGGCGCATCGTGTTTGCATCTCATACCCTCCATCATAGTCTCTGAGGCCGCTTTTCATTTGAAAAGACAAACCACAGGGGACAGGATGGGTGCAGCTGAGCATGGTTGCTGTTATCCGAGCCTTCAAAAGACTGTTCATAAGAGGCTCTGGCAAGTCCCCTGGGAAGGGATGTTGGTGGATTTCAGCTCCCATCATCCCTCATAGTTAGCTGTGCTGACTGGGAATGATGGGAGATGTAATTCACCAGCATCTGGAGGGCCGTATGTTTCCTCCCCCACCCTCTGCGTAAAGGCAAAGGGTTTCTTCCCATGAAGGCCTTTCTATTCTGCCTTAAGAAAGGTCCAGATGATGCTGTCCTTTCCTCACATCCCTCCTTATCATCCCTTATCCTTAACCCACCCCTTCCAGTGCCTGCCAGTCATTATGTCTTCAGGCTGGGCTGCATTTAATTTCTATTGGTTTGTCTGTTTTTGACCCACAAATTCAGGTCTCACAGTCATGTGACCAACATTGCACAATCCCCAGTGACAAGAAAGGGTTCTATGCAGCCTTACGCAACTGGATGCCCTCCAGATGTTTGACTACAGTGCCTATCATGCACCAGTGGGTGATGCCAAGTGGGCCATGATGGGAGTTGCAACCCAATGCACCGGGAGGGCACTGGGCTGAGGAAGTAGTTGAACCGCATCAATGGAATGTCCTTACTGGGCAGTGGCAAAGAATTCACCCACTGGGAAGGCCAACAGCTTCAGGCAGGGCAGCTTGGCCAGAGGGCCTGTGGGGCCCCGCAGGACTGAATCATCCCCAAATGCCCCCTGATTTCTGGCATCAAGTAGTGCCAGTCGGAGGCTGTAGGCAACCTACAGGTAGCCCATCACAATCAGCTGTAGCACTGCGAAGTGGAAGGCACAAGAACCCAGTACATTTTCCTAGTATACTGCATGACCAAACAGAAATATGAAAAGGTCCTTCTTCTCATCCGAGCTTAGATGGTCTGAAGGTGCTAAGAATTCCCTGGTTAAAACTGAGATGAGGAACTTGGAATGCAAGAAAGAATGGGTTGGGCCCAAGACAGTACATTGCTTAGAGCAGCCTTATCTAAAGAGTGTTTAGCTATGATGATGTATAGCCTCCGGTAGGACAGGAAGAACAAGGGAAAGATCTGAGGAGGTCTTGCAACTTCATGGCAGGGACCATAATCCTCTCTTTCTTCCCAAAGCAAGGGACAAAACCATCCATAATTGTTGGTTAGGATATAAAAACAAATCGTATCAGCCTCAGAAAAGCAGGACATGTTGTGTGGGAGGTGGCTGGGTTTCAGATTACGTTTTGTTTAACCATCTGCCCAGTCTTAATTGTTTTTCTGCTTCAGTGGCAGGTTTACAGATTGGGACCCGTCAATCCTTTGCAGCCCTCTCTTAAATACTCTTATTCAGTGTTAGTTCCATCTGTCAAAACAACTCAGATTGTTTAATATCACTCCATGTGAAGTAAGAAATATGAAAGCCTGTTCTCTGTTGGAGGATCACCATGGGGACCCAGAAAGGCAGTGTGGTGTAGTGGGTAGAGTGCCGCATGTGGACTATGGAGGCCTGGGTTCAGACCCCCCTCTGCAGCGAATCTCACTGAGTAGACTTAAGCCTGTCTGTTGAAGAACCATATTCGATGTCAAATTAGGGGTGGGCAGACTTCAGGCATGTGGGGTCTGTTTTGCTCTTTATTAGAATTCTGATGTCTGTCAACCAGAGCTAGATGCAAAATGCTGGCCCCAGGAGAAGAGTTGATTATCTGCTGTAGCCTGTGGGAATGATATTGAGATTGATGGATATGGAAAGTTATCAGAGAACAGAAGATCCAGAGTAGCCCTCTAAATTAGTCACAGAGCAGCCTTATCTTAAGAGTGTTTAGCCCACATCAAAAGTGGCCATTTAGTACTCCTGTTTTACAAATGAGGAACCATGAGACTGAGAGATAAGCAACAAACACAAATCCAACCATGGCAAGGAGACTTTTTCCTTGCAATTTGATTAGCTCTTGTTAAAATTTTGAATATTATCGCAATTGCATTACATTTATATCCTGCCTTCCTTCTTCTTTGCAGTGAGGTACTTGCAAAATGTCAAATGCTATTTTAGGCTGCATTAATAGAAGTATCACTTCCAAATCACATGAAGTACTAGTTCCCCTTTACTCAGCACTGGCTAGGTCTCATCTGGAGTACTGTGTCCAGTTTTGGGCACCGCAGTTTAAGAAAGGTGCAGGCAAGCTGGAAAGAGTTCAGAGGAGGGCAACGGGGATGATCCAGGGTCTTGAAACAAAGCCCTGTGAGGAGAGATGGAAGGAACTGGGCATGTTTAGCCTGGAGAAGAGAAGACTCAATTGAGATATGATAGCACTCTACAAGTACTTGAAAAGCTGTCACAGAGAGGAAGGACAAGATCTCTTCTCAGTCATCCCAGAGTGCAGTGCATGGAATAACAGACTTAAGTTACAGGAAGCCGGATTCCAGCTAGATATCTGGAAAAACGTCCTGACCATCAGAGCAGCACAACAAAGGAACTGATGACCTAGGGAGGTTGTGGGTGCTCCCGCACTATGGAGGCATTCATGATGCAGCTGGGCAGTCCTCTGACAGAGATGGAGTCCTGCACTAGCAGGGGATTGGACCCAATGGCCTTTTTTGGCCTCTTCCAACTCTACTATCCTAAGACTCTTACAAGTACCCAAGGCAGCTTACAAGTTTCTCTGCATCTCTGTTTTGTCCACACAACCACAACCCTGCATAGTAGATTAGGCTGAGAGTGTGTGACTGGCCCAAAGTCACTCAATGAGCTTAATTGCCGAGTGAAGACTAGAATTCTAATTTCTATGCCTCACTGGGACTCAGGATCCCCCAAACCCATCCATGCATCCCATTCAGCCTTCTGCTCCCTGCATGCAGAACACACAGGAAGTTCCTCTTAGCAGGGTTTTTTTTTTTTTTTGCTTTTTACCGAAATTGGAGACTCTCCATTTGATCAAAGCAGTGGTCCTGATCGAGTGCTGCACAGAAATGTTTGGCTGCAACTCCTACGATCCCCAGGTTGATGGCAGCTGGAGTCCAAAACACCTGGAGATCTCCAAGTGGAGGAAGGCTGACATAGGGGATAAATTGTTTTTGTGGTCCAGGTGAGCAAAATTGCCCTTCTCAAGGTGCTTCCACCTGGGGGAAGAGAGCTGCTTGGTTTGCTTACCTCATTCCCTTCATGGAGAAGATTAGTGGGAGGGGCAATAAGAATCCTCTTAATTTCTGCTTCAGCCAAATTCAGAATCCAATCAACATTAAGGTAAGAACAAATCACACTGGGGCAAAACTTCATCCACCTCTAGTTTGCCTTGTTGTTTTTCAGTCTAACCTAACTCACAGAGTTGTGTTGATAAAACAGGGTTGCACAGGTAGGAGATACTCTGAGCAGCATAGAGCAAAGGGGAGATAGAAATGTCAGCAACTTGCTAAAGATTTTCTTCCCTCTGAATAAATTGTGTAAGCCAATACAATGTATCTTTGTTTTTTCATCTCCATTCACCTGCTTGGTTCATTTGTGCTAAAGCACCATACTTTAACTTGTTAAAGTTAAGAGCTTAGCAGTACTTTAGCATAAAATGCTTTCCCCGAATTGGGAGCAGATGAGCTCCTGATGGTTCTCCATTGCTTTCTACAGAAGCCTGGGTTTTCATAGATGTTTATTTGGGTTTTAATTGTTGTATCTCTCTGGGATTTTGGAAGAAGCAACTCTAGTTCTTTCACTTTGCTGTCCATGAAAGGAAAAATTAACTAGCTGGGCGGTAAGGGAAAATGGCACAGTGTGCTACTAAAACTGGGATTGTTTGTGTAACTTAAGAAGTTTATTTTAAAATTCATTTTAACATTGTTGCATTTATGTAATTCGTATTTAATTGTATTGTTTGTTTATACAGTGGTGTAAACTGCCTAGAGAGCTTTGGCTATGGAGTGGTATAGAAATGAAATGAGCAGATTTCATGAGCGGAGTTGGCTGGAGCCAGGGGTCAGACTAGATGGCCTAGGAGGTCCTTTCTGACTCACTTTTTCCTAAGTTTCTATGTGTCTATGAAATGAATGAATGAATGAACTGAATCCAGTATTTTAACATTTGCCAAGCTGGGCAGTTACTCCTGCAAGCAATGCTTTGAGCAACAGTGGAGCAGGAAAAGTGAAAAAGGAGAGGAAAATTACTTGTCAGGAATATCAGGGATATCTTGTGGTAGTGGAACAAATAACTGTGTTGGGAGAGAAACCCTCTGCAAATGATAACTTAATTTGCATCCCTTCGTATGCTGCAAATCCATCAGCTGAAGCATCTTATAAATTCATAGACGAGTAGGGCCAGAAGGGACCAAGGAGGCCATTGGTCCAATCCCCTGCTGGTACAGGATGCCAAGTCACACCATGCCACTCAAATGACCGTCCAGTTTCACCCTGAATGACTCTAGCGTGGGAGAGCCCATCTCCTCTCTTGGCAATTGGTTCCAATGTTGTGTTGCTCTGACACTGAGGAAGCTTTTCCTGGTGTCCAGCCTGAATCTGGTGTGCTACAGTTTAAGTTTGTTGATCTGAGGAAGTCTGTGTCCATCTTAGCTTAAAAGACTAACGTTCTAACTATTAGAATATCACACTACATCTGCAGAAATTGAAAACCTATTATAAAAATGGAATGCAAGCACAGTGTTGGGGCTGGGTTTTAAAAATCTATGGAATGCGCTCCCCAGAGAGGTCCGCCTGGCGCCGTCGTTACTTGTTTTTTGGCACCAGGCGAAGACCTTTTTATTCAAATGTTATTTTAATTGTTAATATTATTTATTCATTTTATTCTTTGGCCAGGGCAACTTAATTTATATGGTTAATTTATATTATTCTATCTTGAAGTTTATTTATGGTTGTGAGCCGCCCCGAGGCTTCGGCGAATGGGGTGGCATAGAAGTCTCCTAAATAAATAATAAATAAATAAAAATGTATCCACTGGTTTTGTTTTACTGATGCAGATCATCATGTTAAATTCGGTTTCTGACCTACATGGCTACATCGACAAAAGTCAGCTTACTCGGGAGTTAGGAGGAACCCTGGAATATGGACATAGTCAGTGGATACACCATCGAACTGTACGTAACATCTTCTGGATTGCTCCATTTCTTATCCAAAAGCCTGAAGTAGTGGAGTACCTGGTATAAAGAAGCAAGAGTAGTTTCTAAATAGTGCTGTGTTTTAATGGGGGTCAGAGCTAGTTCCATGTGTCCTGGATTCTCGAAAAAGAGGTTCTGGAATGCATGTGATGTTCACCACCACTTGGCTTTATGTGCCAAGTAGACCTGCTAAAATGGCTCTTGGAGGAAGAAGAGTTTTGGAGAGTTGTTTTGTGTGTTTTATATTTCAGGCTACTGTGGCAGCTTTTGTATCATTTCCTCCATCCTTAATGGCTGCATAGCCCATGCATTTGTAAAATTGTTGTTGTTGTTAGTCCCGAAGTCATGTCCGACCCATGGAGAACATTCCTCCAGGCCTTCCTGTCCTCCACCATCCCCCGGGGTCCACTTAAGCTCACACCAACTGCCCCAGTGACTCCATCCAGCCACCTCATCCTCTGTCGTCCCCTTCTTCTTTTGCCATCTAATGGCAGAAAGTGAAGAGGAACTTGTAAAATATTTAAATAAATAAACAAAAATCTCATCTTAAACCTCCAGTTTTCTTCCCTCCTTCAGAGAAAATGTATTCTGTGTAGGCTTCCCACTGGGACAATATTTATTCATGTCAGGGAAAAAAATGTGTTAAATTGGAGACACGAAGCTGGATTGTTGAATATATTGACGACCCTAATATGGTGTTGGTTGGATTATCCAGCACTACAGTCCTATGCACATTTTCCTGGGAATAAGCTTCATTGAGCACAGTGAACTGGTTTGCATATCATAGCAGTCAATCGTGGGTTATTTAGCCTTTGATTTGCTGGGATGTGTAACATCTGTGGGCCATTTCTAGTTTTCATAAGCAGCCTCTAATCAGGAGTTGTGTGACATGTGAACCTGAGCTGATAGGTTCTTTAGGGGCTAAATGCTGAGGTGACTCCCTGACCAGCCCATTCATCTGAGTTTATATATCGTACTCAGAAGATCTAATCAGGCTGACCAAAGGTTGTTAATACAGAAGCAGCTGTTGGAAAAATTATTTATTTATTTAAAACTTTTCTATACCGTCCCATAGTTAGATGTCTCGGGGCGGTTTACAACAAATTCTAAAAATAGAAATAAAAATAACAGCAATGGTAAAAGATGGTCCCTCCTTGGTTCTTATAAATGCAGGCTTTAAGAGAAAACTTGTGTTTATGTAGCTGTAGGGAAACTGTGTCTAGATAAGAGAGAACAAGAAGGAACCAGGTCAAGGATGAGTGTTTAACCTGCATCTTGAAAGAGTCATCCTTAGATAAGGTATGAATGGAGGAGGACAGTTCCCATCCTCAGGAAGGGAAGGAGCCTATGAGAAAGTTGCCAGAGGATGAGGTAAACTATAAAAGCATTGTTCTAATTTAGTACTGTGCCTTACACATGTAATAATGTGTTAACAGCCTTGCATGCCATATGCTTAATAAGTATTGCTGGTTTGCTTTTCTTCAATCTATTTTGGCCTGTTTCATGCAAGATCTAACCTAGCCTATGTGTGGTGCACATCCTAGCAAACTGTAGGATAACCAACTGAAGTTAGTTAACCCACCGTTTACCGCTGTGTCATGTGAACTGGCTTTAGTAGGACCTAATTCCATCTAAACGTTCATAGGATTGTCCTGTACATCCAGTAAGTGGACAAATAGCAATTGCTTGTATAACCAAATGCCACCCTTGGTTGCATAGCCAGAAGCATAGCTTCTGGATTGAGAGAGGTGTTACTACCACTCTATATGACTGGTGCGCCCGCAACTGGAGTATTGTGTTCAGTTTTGTGCCCCTCATTACAGGAAGGATATAGCCGGGTTAGAGTCAGTGCAGCATAGGACTGCAAGGTTGGTGGCCGGTTTGCAGGGGATGGGGTATGAGGCGAGACTGAGGGAACTGGGTCTCTTCAGCCTGGAGAAGAGGGGACTCGGAGGGGATCTGTTGGAGACATACAGGTATGTGAGGGGGTGTCACACGGAGGTGGGTAGAGACCTGTTCTCTGCTGCAGAGGAAGGCAGGACATGCTCCAACGGAGCCAAGCTCAGGGAACCAAGGTTCAATTTGGATGCCAGAAAGTATTTCCTGACATTTAGGACCCCGAGGGTATGGAATGGGCTTCCATGGGAGGTGGATGAGGCCCCATCAGTGAGGGTGTTCAAGGATAGGCTAGATATGCACATGGTAGGCATGTCATGAGCGGAGCCAACAGGAGCCGGGGGACAGACTAGATGGCCTGGGAGACCCCTTCTGACTCGCTCCGCTTCTATGTTTCTAACTTCTTTGCTCTATGGAATAATAGCTTTTGAAGGTCTTTTATATTACACTAATTTTCCAGGCCATTGAGAATTTTGCCATGACTGTGAAAACCACAGCACAGATGCTGCAGACCTTTGGAACAGACTTGGCAGAAACAGAACTTCCCAACGATGTGCCGTGTACGGAAGAGCTGCTTTCTTCCCACACGGAGCAGCACAAGAAGCTGAAGGTGAGCAATTCTGTCTCATTGAGCATGGAAGGCCACAGGTTTGCCATTTCCACACACACCCACAATTCATCACTAGATTCTTCTGGGGCAGAAGTCAAGAGTAATTCTTTATTGTGCTTCGTTTTGAGAACAGCTGAAAGATGCAGCAACATTTTCGGCATTGCTATGAAATATTTATTTGCTGTAAAAACTATCTGGAAAAACCAGGGCAAAATAACAAAACACTTCACTTGTTTTTCAGTTTAGTTTGTGCCTGAGTTCTTGAAATGATACGCAGCACTGCGCATGTTAGAGATCTGAGTTCTAGTCCCTGCTAAGTCATGGAGCTAACTGGGTGACTTTGGTCCTGTCACAGATTCTCAGCCCAAACTACCTCACAATGTTGTTGTTGTGAGGTAGGATTACGAGGCGGTGGAGAAGAATTATACAAGCCACCTTGATTTCCTTGTAAATTAAAAAGGGAGGCTATAAATAAATAAATACATAAATCTGTTGAAAAGGTGCTTGAGCTGTTAGTGCTGGCACAAAGCTTTCTGCCATAAAGCAAGCCTGCTGAAAAATAGGTAAAACACCTATTTTTGGATGCTGTTGAACATTCTTGGAATCTTCCCAAGAATGCTATTTCAGGTTTTGGTTTGTTGGTTGGACCAGGAGCAAAAACATTTTAGAGGAGAAGAACAAATTTCACAGTTACTTTACTGTTGCTGGCTGACCTGGACCCTCTGCTGCTGCACGAAGGCCATCTCTTGACCCATGCATTTGCTCTGTGAACGTGCTATTGGTGCTCATTTAGGCCACGGCGTTTTCCCGTTCTGCCTCTGTGCACATGCACCTGTAGTCAATGACCAGCCCTTTTTGATCAGCAGGGACCTGAACATCATGGGCCACCCCCTGCTCAGAATTCTCTGTTCCCTCTGAGCTATGGCCATCCTCGCCATAGCGGGGGGAATGGATTTTCTCAGCAATAATCATTCCCTGGTGTGATGCAAGGGATTTGGGGAGACTTGATTCTGAACAGTCATGGAGGATAAAAACTGGAGCGCTGATCTGGATTAACAATCTGGGGCCTTTCCTTTGGGTGACCACTATAAGGACTGTCATAACGGATGTGTGAGGAGTCCTTCTGGGGGTGGGAATCCGTCAGATTCCTTGGGCTCTGCTCCCTGGGCTCTTGTCCATTCCCAGGCCACTTATACATGAGCACAAGTTCCCGGTGACCACACCCAGAGCTCATGGGGCATTTGCCAGGAATCGAGTCCCATGCGTTGTGCAAGCCCCTCTCTCACATCAGAAAAAGCTGCTGTGTGAGGTATATGTGCGAGGGGCTTGCTAGGAAAGTGCCCCCTCCCTGACCACTGTGTGAGCATCCTTTTCCATGCTTTCCATTGCATCTGCAACTGCGGAAGAAAGTTGCCGGTACACATCCAAGGCTCTGAGAGCATTTGTGGACTTTCTCTTGGCTTGGCTTGGCTTGGCTTGGCTTGGCTTGGCTTGGCTTGGCTTGGCTTGGAAGACCAAGCACACGAGGAAGCTCACAAATGCTTGGAGGGGCAGATTCCAATAGGGCTTGTCCCAACCCTGTTTGATGCCCCACATCACGGTGTGTGCTTGGCTCTCCTGGGGCGAATGTTCACCACTTTTGCAGGACCATTCACCCCAGAATTTGGGGGGATATTTGGTAACTTGTAAGGTGATGAGGGCTGTTTTCCCTCTTGTTTTAATTGTGGGTGGGTGGGGAGCTTTGCCCTCTCACAAGAATACCCTCGGGAACATGGAAATGCCTTCGGGTGGCCACGTCAAAACCCTCTGCAGAGAATCCTCCCAATATGAAAGTGCAAGGATCCAGCAGCACTGGCAGAGGACGGTGCAAGTGGCAGTGAGCGGCAGGGGGCTCGGCTCTTAGGAAGTGCTGCTGTAGCCTGTAGCTTGACGGGAAAGTACTGAACCATCTCGACTGATTTCTTCTGTTCCTTAAGCCTACCTAACTCTTCAGCATCTGCCTTCATTTTCTTGGATTAAGTCCCTTCGTTCTCAGCAACCTTCCAGAAGCTCCTCCGAGTATTTTCAGATAGTTATTTCACCCGCCCATTGTTGCTCTTTTCAGCTGAGCATTATTAAAATTATGCAGTTGGTCACTGCCAACACTTTGATATTAAAAACAATTTGTTTCCTTGCATAGCCTTGTAAATCGTTGGAGGGAATATTTATGTATAAATGCCACATGACGCTAAGTTGTGGGAAGCCAGTAAAAGTCTTTCCAGGAAAATCACATTATGATTTTAAATATGTAGGGCAATTTTATGCTCCATTTATTACCAGTGTCACTCATAGAAAAGTTCACACTACAGACAAACCCTAAACTGCTTTGCAAAATACACAAGGAGAATGCCAGAAGTTCTAAAAGTTATGGTGATGGTCCAGTCCCGTGTTGCATTCCCTTCCATATGAGCTGCTTCAGAGATGAAATTTTCCTTTTTTTCTTTTAGCCCAGCATCATTTCCTGGCACTCCATGTATGGAGATGAAAAGATAGATAATCCATTCCCCTTTACAAATTTAAGGTATATTTTTAAAATATATGAAGTGCATTTGAACTATGCAGTTTGAATGGATCAGTTGGTTAGAGCGAGTCTCTTCTAGCCCAGCCATGTGCATGGTTAGGAAAAAGCCTTCCAGCAACCAGCATCCCCCAACCAGTCACATTGGCTGGGGAATGCTGGGAACTGTAGGACTTTTTTCTGTCTAATCTGCCTAGGATTGTACTCCTAAATAGACTAATAAGGTCCCTTAAATTCACCTTTCCTCCAACTTGCAGATGTGTTGGATTGCAAGTCCCATCATTCCCAGGTGATGTGATTCCCATAGATCTGTACAGAGAATGGAGTGGCAGTTCAACATCTCCAGTAGAACGAGGCTTGGGGAGGCTGCCCTAATTAATTAGACAAAAAATGCACTCTCTCTTCTTCCATGCCTGAAGGGATGCCTCTTTTCAGATCATGCCTGCCTGCAATGATCATCATTAAAAATATTGTCCTTGCTTCAGAAATATTGTTTATTCAACCCACACTCATAAGATGCATCTAGTTTTGAAACATTAACTGGACCGCAATCCTGCTGAAAACTGATCTTGTTAGCACGAGATGGTAGGTTTGCTCCTGCCTCAGGCACAATTCGGATTGTGTCAGAACGGGACTCAAACACACTATTAAGTGTTTCTGAAGGCTTTTTTGCCTGTGGTACTTATTGTGCAACTTCACTAGCTTCTGAAGTTCTCTATGTTATTAAGATGTTTCCTTTTAAGAGTACTTATTAGAATGTCCAATCTCACGGTAGATATTATAGATCAACTGCTGCAGTTCAAAGACATTCAGATACTTTTACTGGGTTCAGACACTAAAATAACTCGTTGAACTGTTGAAAGAATTGAAAGAATTATCCTGTTGTATGAACCCAGCCAAGAACACAAACCATGGTGAACAAGTCACAGTTCACAACCCCTACAGCAAGCCATGGGTTCTTTTTATGGGTTTGTGGTTAAACTAGGCATGGCTTGCTAGCAGAGCTGGGTTCTGACACATGATAGCCTAGCTTTCAAGGACAAGCCATGGTTCAAGCAACAACCAACATTCCACCCATACTCAACCTTTGAGTGTAGGTTATGTATTGTCTGATTCCAGTACTGTTTGGATAGGCAGCAGCTGGATCCATGATGAGGAGAGAAGAAATGGTAATGCCTGCTATAAGCACCCACCAAACAAATGTTTAAGGCAAATTATCTGCGAAAGATTAAGGTGGGCAACTATTAACCAGTCACTGGAAGATGGGACTGTCCCTAGTAATTGGAACAACTGGAAGTTGTGCTCCTTGCTTATTCCATAAAGCCCGCACGACCTGGCAGAATTCATAGGAGGTGGAGGGAGAGTGCAATTGCTGAGTGGCAGCTGGAAACTAGGAATCAAGACACCAACACCAGGAATACGACAGTGAATACAGTGCATTAGTTCACAGGAAAGGCACCAGACAGATCCACAAGTCTTTATAGTCCTTTCAGGTCTAGGGTGGCCATTTACACATGACCGCAAAAGAGGACCGAGATCTGAATAACAGTTGTACAGGCTAATTTATAGAGACACAATTTTAGTTGTATTTAATTATATTTACTGTTATTTCAGTAAAGACACAATCCTTCCTGCTCTAGTTGGGAAGGCTGTGATCAGGTGACCTCTGTACTTGCAGCTCTGTCTGCTCTTCCTCTGTAAGGTTCTTTTTCTTTAAATCAGGCATGAACTTGACAAGCCCTGATGTGGAGAACACAGTGATCCACTGGTAGCTCTTCAAATAGAGGACTGTCCTCTTTAAAGCAGGGTACATGGCCACTCTCCTCCTGGCCAGGGAGAGCTGAGGAATGGCATGTGTGGGTGGAAAGGAGGGACAGGTGCAATCTGCTACCCTACAGATGAGCTGGACTTCAAGTCCCATAGTTCCCAGGGAGAAGGATATGGGCTGTGCTTGCTGGAAGCCTTAACCCTCCTGACCTAGGTAATGCTTTGACTTGTGAATGGCCCATTCCAGAGGGGAGCAGGTAACCAGTCGCCCTTTGGTCTGGCTTCCATCGCTTCTGATGGTGCTACGATGCGTTCTGCTGCAACGAGTGCGCATTTATCTCCTCTTTCTCTCTCTCAACAGGATGAGCTGAGGCTCGCTGTGAAGCAGGGGGCCACGCTGCTGACTTGCATCCGGGAGCCGGTCACACGAAGTGCCACCAGCAAACTGAGCCCTGATGAGCTTGAAAATGTGGCGACTGTAGAAAGGTCAAGGCTGATTTTGCTGGCTAGAGAAGTGTGAACTTCAGTCTCAGTCTGGTTCATTATTTACATTGTGCATATTGTTGTTAGGTGGCATCAAGTTGTCTCTGATTTACGGTGACCCTATGCAAGAAGGCCCTCCAAAATCTCCTGCCCTTGGCTGCCCTCTCAGCTCTTGTAAACCCAGGACTGTGGCTTCCTTTATGGAGTCCACCCATCTCATATTTGGTCTTCCTTTTCTTCTTCTGCCTGCAACTTTCACTAGCAAGATGGTCTTCTCCAGGGAGTCTCACCTTCTCATGATGCGTCCAAAGTGCGACAGCTCCAGTTTCATCATTTTTGCTTCCAGGAAAAGTTCTGGCATGATTTGATCTAGGACCAGCTTTCTTGCCTTTCTCTCAGTCCAGGATATTTACAAAGCTCTCCTCCAGCACCTTGTTTGAAACACATCAATTTTCTTCCTGTTAGCTTCTTCACTATCCAGCTTTCTCACCCATACACAGTAACCAGCAGTAGAATAGTGTGGATAATCTTGGACTTGATCTCCACTGAAACATCCTTTCACGTGATGATTTTCCCCCTAGCTCCTTCATTGGTTCAATTATCAATTCAAATGGAGAACGCATTTAATAAATTAGAAGAAGACTGAAACTCAGAAGCAGCATTGTTTTAAGAGAGCAAGCAAGCTAGCTGGCTTAACACGCATCTAAAATTCACCATCACCTTTGTTCATTCACAGAGGTATACAGAGCATCTGGCCCTCATTGTCTTCCATGCATGATCTTCCTATATTTCCTTACCAATGCTTTGGTCTTTTTCCTTAATTCAGAAAATCTTCAGGAGCAAAAGAAGGAACTGCACAATGCCCACTGATTGCTAGCACTTCAAGCCCTCCATCTGGAAAAATCTTCCACACCGCCTCCACATGTTTTGAAGATCAGTTAGCACCCCTTTTTCTCTCTTGGATTCTTCTACATAATGTCTACATGTGGAATCAAAAACACCAGGGCAGAAAGAACAAAGAGCCCCTCACAAAGGGCTTCTTTTTCCACATTTAGAAGCGGGAGAAAGAGTTATCCCGACTCAGGAAGCAGCTTAAAAGCTAGACAAGACAGTGTAGCTGGCAGCTTTCACCCACATGTTCATCATTTCCTTACACACCATGGGAGCAGGGCGGGAGGAGAGAGAATCTGTTATTAGCATGGAACCATTCATACAGGGAAGGAATACACCACTGCCTTCCCCACTTTGCCTCACTGTGCTCTCCTGGCCCGAGCAATTTTCTTCAGGCCTAGCCGACCTCTCTGATTTGATCATCTTTGCCTCATGCTGTACGTGTATTTATGGGCCCGTTTACACGAGTGTTTTACCCCACTAGTGTAATGTCTGGCTTATTCACATGATATAATCCTGTTGCTGTTCAATGCTATTTCTCTCTCAGTATCATGTTTAAAAGGAAACTATACTTTCCTTTTAAAAATTTTGATGGAAATCTTGAGCAGGAAATCAGCAATCATTATTTCTGAGGCAGTTTCTCACTTCACCCCTATACAGCTGTGGAACTGTGAATACCACACGATTTATTTTTAAACATTCAATTCTGGGCAGAATAAGTCTGGCAACTGAAATAGTAGCATAACCTTTCAAGTCTCCCACAGTTGCACTATATTGTGTATATTACTGTGGCTTACGGCATTACTCACAGTAACTCATGTGGATTTTCCTGCAGGAACAACGGTGAGCATTGGGGTTTGACACTTGATCACATTATAACTTCTGAAGCCAGAAGGACAACCATAACACAAGAGAAGCAAGCGCTCCATAAAGCCAGAGTTGCAAATATTGCAACAGTGGTGCCCACACATGTCTGCCTGACATGTGGCAGAACACTCCGTGCCCGTATTGGCCTTATCAGCCACCTGCGGACACACTGTGGACAACTCACAACCCGTTAGATGTCAAGGTCCTCATCGAAAATGATCGACGGACATCATCACATTATAACAGCTATCTGGAAAGTCATCTGTGAGGGATGGTTTAACTTGGAGTCCTGCACTGAGCAGGGGTTGGACCCAGTGGCCTTCTTGACCCCATCCAAGTCTACTCGTCTATGATTCTATAAACACAGGAGCTATTCTGCCTTATTCACTCATGTGTGCCCACAGAGCAGCATTGCTTTTGGGTAAAAAAATAGATGAAAGGGGCTCTTCTGTAATTCCTCTTGCTGGTCTTTTAAATTTCCGTGCTTGGGAGGCTGCCTTTCACATTTTTATCTCCTAGGAATGTTTTGCAAAATGTACAAAACAGGAATGGCCAAAAAGTGTTCTGGGTGTGACTGCGTGGGTGCCTGACACATCACCACTGGGCGTCAGGGTTAATCTGTGTGCTCCAAGCCCCCTCTTTCGATGCACGCAGAGGGTCACATGTCCATGGCATGCTTGATTCCTGTATTGTGCAACTTTCTCTGCCCATTCGTGGGAGACCTTTCAGAATTCTTGGCACAGCTTTTCAGCAGAGGAGAGCTGCCTTCATACGACAATTGGCATGTGTTCCCAGGTTCTCTGAATGGAGATAGGAGGAAGAGGAAGCCTTTGACTGTTGCTTGCTCTTCCCCACTGACATTTTTGGTGGGAGAAGCTCATGTATGTGGCCAGGTAGTACAGTGCCTTGCTTAGTCTCTGTCCCTTTGAGGACTGTCCCTCTTCCTCAGTGGCAGAGATCAGTCCACTGGTTTGCTTTTGTGCTCTGAAATCAGGACAAGTCTATGCCTCTTTGGGTCAAATGCCATGCTCTGATTGCCTCAACAGGTTGCTAGCTCAGTTGGATGAAACGGAGAGAGCCTTTGACCAGTTCTGGTCCAAGCACCAGCTAAAATTAGAACAATGTTTGCAGCTCCGACACTTTGAGCAGGATTTCAGAGAGGTATCTTCATTTGTTTGTTCCTTACAATTTCTAACGCTTTGATTTTGAGTCCCAATGAAGTCTTCGTTGTTGACTGTAACTTCCATATATCTGTTGAGTGCAGTATGTCTTATTTAGAGAAAAAGAAATACAGAAGTAGGGAAGACAGAAATGGAATCCTAGGGTAACCAACTAGCTGTCAGCCAGTGAATCTCAAAGAACTTTGTTGCCGGTGGTGAAGAACACGGTGGTGCTTCCTCCAATTCCATGTAGAAAAAGGGCCGACTGGAGTGGCAATCGTATTTATTCAGCACTGGCTAGGGAACAGTGTTCCCCCACTTCACTTGAAAGGGTGGGCGGGCAGGCAGGCAGGCTAGCTTTGAGGAAGCCGGGCAGGCCGTGTGGCATACCGTGTTCTGCATTGTGCCGCCAGCAGAGCCAGCTTCACCGATTTGCCTAACAACAGGTGTGGTCCTCGTCCCAACAGAATCCCAGAAACGGGAAGCAACAAAATCGCAGAAATTGCTCAGTGCCAAATCTCTTAATCTCCAGAGTTCAGAGCAAAACCTCTTGTACAGGAGATTCAGCACTGGATGTTTCAGTGGAACTGCAGGTTATTTCAAATGCGATCAGACAAGCAGCACTGCTGTGGTATTTGTTTTATTCTATGCGTTTTATCATAAGCCATCCTGAGATACTAGTGGCAGATGGCGTAGAAAAGCTTTTAATAAATAAATAAAAATAAATAAGCAGGATTGCAATTCTCCATGGGCCTTTCTCCATTCTAAGTACTGGGAAATTTCATCCTTCAAAGCTGCTGTAACTTTCTTGGAAGATAAGATGGGGCAGTTCAGATTCAAGACCAACAGCCCAAGAAATCTAGGCATAGATGTAATTTTGAAATGCTTGGGAGAAGATTAAGCAACTTTAATAGAATAGAGCCAGTTATGCGTCCTTTAATACTGGGGGTTTTAGATAGACAGCTACCAAACAGAATCAGAACAGTTTCAGTGTACACTTGTCCTGATTTTGAACCAGACAATGTTTGAAAGAGCTCTTAAAACCTATCCTGTTCGCTGATGGACAGTTACCAAGAAGAGAAGAGGGGCAGAAGAATTTCCTTTGACTGTCTCTAAATAGCTTTGCTTATTAACTGGTAACAATCACAACATTTTAGGCCAGTCACTAATTTTTCCTATCTATTTATGCATGCTTTTCTTATAGGTAAAACTGGCACTGGACAATTTGATGGAAATACAGGCGGGTTTCACAGATATCGGAGACAGTGTCACCCGTGTGAAACACATTCTGAAGGAACGAAAGCAACTGGAAGAGAGAGGACAGGTTTGACTTTTATGGTGTTATAATGCTCTGATGATATAATGAAATGGTATTCTGAGCATGATTAATAATGTTCGTTGTTAGTTATTTATTGCAAGTGAGACCCTTGACAAAACATCGTAGTGTGAAGTGCTGCTACAAAATCCCAGCCATGTTATTCCTTCCCTGCCCTGTCCCTGCCATTTCCGTTTTGCTCAGTATCAGTTACCATTTCAGAGGCCATCAGCGTGAGTATGGTGTAGTAGTTACAGATGCTAGGATGGGACTCAGGAGGTCTGGGTTCTAGTCCCCACTCAGCCATGAAGCTCAGTGAATGACATTTGGGCAGCCACAGACTCCACCTATCCTACCTCACAGGGTTGTTGTTACTGTGAGAATAAAACTGAGAAGAGGAGGAGAATTATGGAAGCTGCCTTAAGCTGCTTGACAGGAAAAAATGGTATAGAAATATAATAAAATTATTTCATGGCCACTGACTGTTTTCAGTATCCCTCACTTTCTCCCCTGAAAAATGAAGTCTTTTGGATTCCCTGGAATCTGCTTTTCTGCTGTGCATGGGTTTGTCCACAGAAGCATTTATGCATCTTCCTGGAGAAAGGAAATAGCAGGAAAGGCCTTTGTGTCATGTTGCAGAGTTCCACAAGCAACGATAAGCCCTTGTTCCCAGGGAGCGTAGGTTTCATATTGTGAGAGAAGCAACAGAGGGGGCGGGGGCAAGGGGAAAGTGGCATGGATACCAAGAGGCGGTTGTGATCACAATTAGTTATACTTGGATTTCATTACAATGGGGGCAAACATTAAAGTATTTTGCTAAAAGTTCCTTGAAAAAAGTGGGGTTTGGGGTGACAGATTTGAAAGAAGTGATCCTACCCTATATATGTTTAGGAGGGAGTTCTAGTCATCAGCAGTGAATCATTTAGAGAGGAAAGGTGGCCTGTGACTGAGTGCAGTAAAGGAGACAGAGGGCTTTTCTACACGAGGTATCATTTATTTATTAGATTGATACCCTGCCTTTTTTTAAAGAACTCAAAAGTGGCTTACGTCATTCTCCTGCTGCTCGCAGTCTTATCCCCGCAACAGCAACCTTGGAGGTAGGTTGGGCTGAAAGTCTGTGACTGGCCCAAAGTCACCCAGTCAGCCCCATGGCTGAGCAGGGACTTGAACCCAGGTTGGTTGAGTCCCAGCCCCACGCTCTTCACCATGACACTGTATAGGCTCGTATGCGTTTAATATGAATTTGTGAATCATTGCTTTGGGACTCTTTGGACGATGCCACAATCCTCCAGTTTTGTTCCTGCTTTTCAGAGCACTTTTCCATATTTATTTATGATTTAGAACAGGGAAATTTATTAAAGTACGACAGGGACAAAATTACATTTGTTCTCCTGGTGTATATGCATTATGGTACAGCTACACCTAGAGGTTGTATAGTGGAAAAACGAGAAAGGAATTGCTCTTTGTGTATCCTTCTGATTGCAGTGCTGCAATGAAACAGAAAGTAAATACATTGATTAAGCAGCATTATTTGGAAAAGTTCATAGACAGGCAGTGACTGGAGATAAGGAGAGAAAGAGAAAATACTGCAGCCCATGGAGAGTACTGGGAGTGAAAACATGGAGGTTTTAGATTCTGAGATGTGCAGATGGCAATTTCTGGCGGAATCCAGAAATTGATCAAAGGAGTGGTGAAAATGGGTTGCCAACCGCTCTGGCTAATCTTGCCAACTGTTTAGCAGGTCCTCCTTCTAGTTCCTTTAACTGCAGCTTAATCTGCAATCATTAGACATGCAGTGATGCTTCTCTCCATGCAGCTGCATAAAGCTTTTCTGTTAATTTCTGTTAAGGCTGATTTCTGTTAAGGCATCGTGCAAAAGTTGACCAAGTCAGCAGAAAGTCAAGCCTTTACACAATACACTCTAATACATGCAGTGCACAGATGTGAGGACTTCACAGACCCACCATTCTCCTTGTCAGCTGCAGGGGCCAACTTGGAATGGAAGATGCTGACGCACCCCATGGGTCTGAGTTGTGGATTTCAGAAATGCTGAAGTGTGTTTGCCAAGCAAGCCAGTAGTCTACATTCATAAGAAATGGGGATGTTGCTTACAAGAACCAGTATCTCCAGGTTTCCGTGTGGACAACAAAGGGATTGCTTTTGTTCTTGGTGCATTCAGATTATATGTATCCTAACCCTTTCAAATGTTTTTGCTTTTTACAGGAACCTTTGGAAAAAGCCCAGTCATTAGCTCTTCATGGAGACCAGCTAATCCAAAACAACCATTATGCAATTGACTCCATTAGACCAAAGTGTGTTGAACTCAGGCGGATCTGTGATGACTTTGCCAATGAGACCAAGAAAAAATACGATATTTTAGGGAAGTCCCTAGAATTGCACAAACAATTAGATAAGGTAAGATGCATGAAACTGGTAAATATAGGATACATTAGTATTTGATAGCATTTGGTTAAAATTAGTGCAATAATGGGTCATGAAAACCTTTTTCCCATTCAGTGACCATTGGTTAGAGGGCTGCGTCAAGCAGCGCCACTGTGGTAGGGTGGCTTGAGTTCTGGACTGTGGACCTGGGAGATCTGGGTTCTAGTGCCCACTTGGCCATGACGCTCACTGAGTGACTCTGGACCAGTCGCAGACTCTCAGCCCAACCTACCTCTCCCCTTGCCTGAAGTCCACCAAACTTTGGGTTTCTCTACCTGCTCCTATTTTTACCATTTTCAGCATCAGGTCAAGACAGCTCACTGTATGGCGGCTAAAATCTCTTAGGTCATCCAGGACCCTGAGAGAATTATTCTGGTATTTCCTCTTACTGAGTCTTTTTATTGTATTTTACTGTTATTTTAAAAGCTATTTTAAATCAATTTTAGCTCTTTTAACATCTTATTTGTATCATATTTTACTGTTTTGTTTTTATACCTTGTTGTAAACTACACAGAGAGCTTCAGGTACAGGGTGGTATTGAAATGAATAAATAATAATTTTAATAGTTCACTTTCCCACCCACCCCTTTCAAGGCTAGTCAGTGGTGTGAAGCTGGAATCTACCTCTTAGCTTCTCAAGCTGTGGACAAATGCCAGACACAAGAGGGAGCTGAAACTGCACTTTGTGACATAGAGAGATTCCTGGAAACTGCGAAGGATCATCAACTGTTGAATGCCAAGGAGTTCTACAATCAGTTTGATATGATTCTCACCCCAGAAATAAAGGTAAGAATGTCAGAGCCCTTTGGGATCAGATGGAAAACCTATATTGGGAGTGTCAAACTTAAGAGCCACAGGCAAAATCTGACCAAATCCAGTCACTAGGGTTTGCCAGATAGCCTTACCCTCTTTCCTGATCATTGATCAGTTGTCCTGGCTTTTGTGCAGGTTTTCTAAAAGACTTAGTTACCAGGCGTAAGAGCTTCAAGCTAAAATATGCTGATATTTTTCACCCTGCGTCTTCTGTCTTCGGCATTTTCCTTCTTTATGTTTAGCCCCGCCAACCAATGGAATGTAACCCCTGAGAGCATCTCGAGAATTGAATTCAGCCCTTAACATTTTGACAAAGGTTTGACACACTATATAGTCCAGTGTTGTGTTTCTCACAGGGCTGCCCAGATGCCTCAGGAGAGCCCGCATGCATGACTGTTGCTCCCCACATATTGCCTCTAATCCTGGAGGTTGCATTTAGCCATCCTGACTAGTAGCAATTGATGGCCAATATAAATTGGGATAAGATGTAGCTGTTACTAGCTGTTAGCACTTCTGGAGGAAAATGTTGCATTCTGGAATTATACCTAGCCTCCTGCCAATGCATACTTTGCATCTGACTTCCTCTTCCAGAGCAATGCCCAAAGAGTTCTACAAAAACTGGAGGATGTGCAGGAAATGTTTGAGAAAAGGCAAGTGAGTCTGAAGAAGCTGTCAGCAAAACAGACCCGACCAGTGCAACCTGTTGCTCCACATCCCGAGTCATCACCAAAACGAGCATCACCTAAAAGCATTCGGCCTGCCACACTAGGTAAGGAAATCAGGTATTCCAGAACAGACAAGCTAATAAATAGCCACCCTGAGATATTGTGAAGGGTGGGATATAAAAGCTTTAAATAAATAAATAAAGGTCAGGATATCCACATTTGAATTTTTCTTCTTTATAAGATTCCCCAATAAGGGAACATTAAGATCCAAAACGTGTTGGACTACATTTTTCTTCTTGGTATACCCCTATTTTATTCCTCTCTGAGGTTGCATTTCCATTGCACTTCTTTCCATGTTAGTTACAAGGAGATGAGGGTCTGGAGTTCTGAATCCCAGCTTTGATGTTGGAGCACCATTTCCAAACTCAGACTATATGCAATACTATATGGTCCCTTAGATGTTGCCTGGCACACCCTTAGCATACTATTTGAACTGATATCCCAAGAATATGGGCATGATTTGAGTTATAGGCAGCCTGCTTAGTTTGCACTTCCACTACATTTTCTGCATATGCTGAAGCAATCTTACAACTCCTTTAGTAGTCAACTAATTCTGCAATGAACTACTTAGGCCGTGCACACAGTGATCCAGCTCAGGGGAATGAATTAGCCCCAGAAAGCTGTCGCATCAGCTTCTTTTTGAGTGGAAACACAGCTGGAGTCTGCTCAATCAATCTTTGTAAGTAATAAAGTCCTAATGCTACTTATATCCCATGTCTAAATAGTTGGATCCATCATAGCATCCTGCATAGTTTGTAGTATGTGAAAAAGCCCCCACTTAATGGATAACATCTGGTATGAAGAGGAAAGTTGAAAAAGCTGTGGAGGGATTAGCTGACTCAGGAAATGTGGCAGATGTGAATTCTATCGCTGTCTCTTGAGGAAACTGCTATGCTTTTCAGCCCTGAACATTTATTTAAAAAAACAGATTTGAGGAAAAACCTTCCTTTTCCCTTCCCCTATCTGTTTCCCTATTACAGGGCAGTTGTAAAGTATGACAGAGACAAGATAGGGAACTAAACTATTGGTAAGAGTTTGTCTTGCCAAAGATGCTTATGCAGTACAGGGTTTTAGGTGGAGAGTTATGTCAAAAGCATTTTTAAAAAGAAAGAATACGTCCTATTTCTTAGCCATTAGTGTTTATACCATATATCTAAAAGAATGCCCTTTGTGCAATAATTTTATTATGATTTCCACTGTCTTAATTAGCATAAATCAATATTTGGGGACAAAAGAGTGTTAATGTTCCTTAATAATGGGAATGTTTTTATTTAAAAATGGCCAGCCAAGTAGTAAAAAGATTAATTGAGCCCTTGATACATGGCCAATGGGTTGAGATTGAACTGTTGAGTCAAAATACATATTTTATGAGTGTTGAAAGCACCTTGTTTGCATTATCTCTGTAAATGTTAAAACAGCTGCTTGCAAGGGGTCCACATTATTAAAAAGAAGAAAGAAGCTTACAGTTTTCCTGTTTCTCTTGGTGGCTTTCAATGCCATTGTTTATATCCTCCTGAACTGACATGTGGCTGGACCTTGAGGTTGCTGTTTGCAGCGGTTCCTGTCTTTTCTGTTGGACTTTGTCTAGAATGTGGTGTTGGGGGATTACTATTTCACTTCTGCCGTCATTGGCTTCACGGGTTTTTTCCTCTCCTTTATAATCTAATATTTCTTGATGTATTACATTTCTATACCACTCAATAGCTGTAGTGTGTTACACATAGGATTTGTCCTACCCTTGTATGATGTGTGTTCCAACTCCACATCCCCTTGCCCTTGAGAGGCACTTTTCTTAGCAATGTCCCTTTAATATAGGAGTGCTTTCAGTTTTTTGTGAATGCTGTTTTCTGTGTTGCTACTGGCAGAGCAAAAACAAATATGCCGTCGGGGTTGTAGCAACCCCTTAGGTGTTGCTAGGCACCCCATAGATGTGTGCAACACACTGATTTAATCTGGTTGCACATGGCTGAAAACCACAGCAGTTGGCTATTAAGTTGATATTGATACGAAACTCATGATTCATAGTCTTGCCTGAGCCTCTGAAGGAGAGGTGCATCACTTAACAACGGAAGGAGTTTCCACAAGACAGGCTTCCAGTACTGAATTATTTCTGTCTCTTTCTAAAAGGAAGGTCAGATTCATTTTGTGTTTTGTTTTGATTTTTATATCGATAAAAATTTGTGGAAAACCTATCAACATAACCATCACTCAAGTCTGCAGTCTGACATCAGATGCTGCAGAAGAAGAAATTGACAATTTTTATGCAAGGAGAGGCGATTGATAACACATCAGAACAAGGCATGCTGATAATCATAGGTGGTTATTAAGGTCCATGAATCAGCCCACATTAGTGTCTTGCATTCTTGGCTGCAGCTAGTACTAGCCTGGGGCATCCCTAAGAGACAACTCTGATTCATTTGTTATTTACCTAAAAAAATTGTGCAGCCCCCACCTCTGCAAGTATTGTGGCACCCCTGTCCATGTGATTTCCAGTGGATTCTTCTACAAGCAATGAAATTTAGTCTATAGCACAATTAGGTGTTTTTGCCACTATCATAATGACATATCATAATGGTAAATATTCTTATTCGCAACAAGAGGTTCTCTGTTGTCCATTTTTTCTTTGGGACTAATCAAATCTTTGAGGCAGACAAATTTACATTTTGTCAGAGGAAGAGGAGCAGGGAGAAAAGGCAAGGGAAAAGACTCGTGTTTCACACAACTGCAGTGTATAACTGTGTACAGGGACACAGGTGACTAAGAAAAGTACAATACATACTTTTGTACATATGTATGTACATATGTATGTACATACATACATACAGGGACACAGGTGACTAAGAAAAGTACAATACATAAAAACAAAGGTGCTCATGCAGTTTTGATGGCCCTTGAGGGTGGAAAACTGGTAATTAAAACCTCCTTCACATTACTATCTGTGAGGAAGGTTTTAATGAAAGGCAGCTTGGATATATTCTTCTACATGTCATGCTTTTAACAAACATTGTTGTATTGCTGTGAAATGATGTTTGTACCTTACAACTGAAAACACGAGGCTTTGAATTCTAAACTGATCCTAAGAGGAGACACTTTCTACCTGCTTCTCCTTAATTGGGAACTCCATGCATCCGAAGGTTGGCAAGGGGATGCAGAGTGAAGCAGGAAGCAAGATAGCCTGTTTGGTGAACATGAATGCTGTTTTGTTTGTAAATGGAAAGTCGGAATCCAAGCCAGATGCTATATGGCTGTGTTTTCACCTTTTTTCACCGCAAGGGTAACAACAACTCGTTCATCATTCTACTCTCACAGTAACCACATTATTTCATCCATACACAGTGCAGTTATGTCTGGTGTAGCTACTTGGCATTGGGCATTAGTTTCATCCTTCCTGCTTTTCATTAAGGAGAATGAGGCACTCATGTTTGTATTAAATGAGGCATTGGCGATGAGGTATTTACTTAATTTAACTTGTCAAATTTTCTGCCATAAGATGGGGTGATGGCCATTGGCTTAGATTGTTTCACTAGGAGATTGAACATATTCATGGAGAATCTCCAGATTCAGAGGCAGAATACCTCTAAATATTGCTGGTCTTAACCTATAAAGCCCCACATGGCTTGGGACTGCAATACCTATCAGAGTGCCTCTCTCAATCTACCCAGACACTACTCTCAGTTTCTGGGGCCTTTCTCTGGGTGCCAACCCCTCAAGAGACTCAGAGGGTGGCAGCTAGTGGGTGGGCCTTTACAGTGGTGCTCCCCCCCCCCGCCAATCTTGGAAAAACCTTTCTGCTGTAGCCCACCTGGTGCCAAATTTGCCATCTTCTTGGTGCCTCTTTGTAAAGTCCTTTAAAGACCTCCCTGGACATTCAGGGGCCTGATAAAATTAGCCAAGTGCCTCTTACTCTTGGCCAGGTTTTTAAATTGTCTTTTAATGCTCTTTTATTTGTTTATTAAAAGCTTTTGTATGCCATCCTTTATATAAATATCTCAGCTTACAGCACATTTTAAAACAATTTAAAACATCTAATAACACCATCCACAGATTAAACCAGTGATACCAATATAAAACAATAAACAAACATCAGATAAATCAAATTAAATCAAAATAGAACAAAGCAAAAGTGACTGGAAAAATCATTAACACTATTATCTTTTAAAATGCTGCTTAAATAAAAAGGTTTTGACCTGGTGCCGAAAATAATATAGTTATTTTAAATTAATTTTTGACTCTCACTCTTTTAAGCTATTGGATTTTATTGTTCCTGTACACCACTCAGATAGCTTCATCTATGGGCAGTATAGAAATGAAATGATGATGATGATGAAGCAATCAATATGGGAAACATGTTGTCTTTTCACACTTTTTGTGGATTTTCCTTGGGCTGCAGGAATAGGTGAACCAATTTGCTTTGCTTCACAAGGCTCATTTTATGCGTGAGCATTTTTAAAGAAAAGTTTAGGAACAGCTTAGAGTAAGGAACTGTCTGTTTCAACAGTGAGGTAGTAGTTTCAGCAGCTAAATGAAAAGATGCCCATAATAATTAATGCATAATAAATAAATCATGGGCCAAAAAAGCACCCACAAGGGCAGTCTCAGCTATAGAAAGGACCTGTGCAAAACCTAAATTTGGCACTCGGATGGTGAAAACAAAGTCAGTCCTGTCCATGCAACTGCTACATGGACACACTTTTCATAGCAGTGTCCCTTTAATAAAGGAGTGCTTCCAGTTTTGGTGTTGCAAACCAAATCAAAACAAAACACAAAATGAATCTGGCCTTCCTTTTAGAAAGAGACAGAAATAATTAAGTACTGGAAGCCTGTCTTGCGCAAACTCCTTCCATTGTTAAGTGATGCACCTCTCCTTCAGAGGCTCAGGCAAGACTATGAATCATGAGTTTCGTATCAATATTAACTTAATAGCCAACTGCTGTGGTTTTCAGCCATGTGCAACCAGATTAAATCAGTGTGTTGCACACATCTATAGGGTGCCTAGCAACACCCAAAGGGTTGCTACAACCCCGACAGCGTATTTGTTTTTGCTCTGCCAGTAGCAACACAGAAAACAGCATTCATGGCTGCTTTGGGGTAACTGGGGGAGAGAGGAGGCTTTGACCTCCTCTGTGCCCCATTAGTCATGACCCAGTTGCTCCCTTACTGTTGCCTAATGGCAACAGTAAAATAGTGATCCAGGTTGATTGCTGTCTTGATGGTGTGGCTTTTTTGGCAGTGGTAGCAGGAGTACTGTAGGAGAGTTATCTGCTGCCTGTGAGTTGTCCTCCCCTGGCCTAAAAGGACCCCCCCCCCGCTTATGTCGCCTATTTAAAGTAAAAACAACAATACAGAAGAACAAAGCTACATGTTTAATGTAACTATGGAGTCTGGCCTTCAGTTTTGTAGTGCTGGGTTTTAGAACCCCATATAGGTTTTGCTCCAGTTAACAAACCCAGAATTATAGAAAATAGTGAACTCTGCAGAATAAATTTAGCTCAAACAAAATATAAGGGAATCACACATTATTTATTTAGGGTGAAGACTTTATCTTAACACAGAATGTATTTTTGTTTTAAAGCAAAGCCCTAGCTTCTATAGACCAGGGTTTTGAACACTTTACCTAATCCCGTATATTTCCATATCACATCTATTTATATATATAACCATCCAATACTATAAAAATATTTACTTAAATCTGCACAGCCACTAAAATAACTGAGCTCTTTGCTCTTGGGTCCTTGGTTTGTAGTGTTGCTTTTTCTGATTTTTTTGTGGGCCTGTTTATTTCAGCTACCAACAGGAGATCGGTAGAAATTTCCAGTCCTCCAAAATCCATCTCTGATGCAGACTTGTCAAAAAAGAAAAGTGTAAAGAAGACCAAAGGTGGAATTAAGGTAGGAAGCTTGTGTTGTTTATGTAAATACAGTCCCCGTTGGAGAAAACCAACATCTTTGTACAATATTATGTTTCTAGATGAGGAGTGGGGAATATTGTTGGGACTGGGGGTCAGGTATTGCATGCCATTAGGAGATGAGGCCCTGACTGCCATTATCCCCTGATGCCATTGGGTCCAATGTGGAAATGCTGGGTGGAGTTCTTCCACCTGACACCTTAGTCATGAAGGCTGTCTGGTTCCATAGGGTCTAAGTAACATAGAGCTTTTCTCAGATAAATAGATTTTACAGCAAAGGCTTATACTGTGGTTGAGGGTTACTTGATCCCTGGCCCTACTTGCTTTATTTTAAATGACACCATTTATCTGTCAGTATCATTTGCTCATCACAGTAAAGAAAGAGGTCTTTGAATTGACTCATATATTGAAAAAGTCTAGTCAGCTTCAGTATTCTAGATGTCAGGGTTTCTGTCTACGCCTCCTCTTCTATGTTGACTACTGTGCCCCATTCTTTCCTCCATACTTTCTTGCATTCAACAAGACATTTCCTCCCTCCCTTCGAATTCCTTTAGCAAATCATCTAAGACTTTACTGAAACTTAAGAGAACCAGTGTTTCTTCTAACTTAGCCAATGAGAGTAGCCATTTCCAGTTAAAAGAATCAAGTGATGGAAAATACTAATGGAGGTCAGCAGAAAGCACAGGGCTCAATGAATCAATAGTCTGTCTTGGCCTAAAGGAGCTCTGAGTTCACAGATAGTATTTTCTACCAGAATTCTTGTGTATGAACATTTAGTGTACACAAAGCAAATATGTTAATACTGTATATGATCAGTGTACATCATGATCTGCTATTGATTATGCATAAGAACTGCTGTTGAGTAAGACTTCTACAGTATATGAAAAGTCCTTCCAAGTTGCAGACAGTTTTGGATGCAAAGTGCATTGACAAGCCACACCTCCCAACTTTTGACTGCTAGCCTTAGGCAGAGCACTGCACCACAGAAAAATGAACCTTTAGTCAGACACCTTTTTGTTGTGTTTCTCAAAATTATCGTCCAGATTGAAGTTATGCATGAAGCAAGTCAGGGAGGTTCCAGCAGAATCTTAGTGATGAGTGAAAGCGAAGAAAATCTTTCCACCAGAAGAAGGTAAGAATGAATTCACTTTCGACTAGTAGAAATCACCGGCTATTTAAATAAAAATTAGAAAAAGTATGCATCCTAACTCAAGTTGCACTAAATACAGTCATCTCTCCATCACAGCTTAAAAGAGTTTTCTGGGCACAGCAAGTGTCACAAATGGACAATTGACCATTTAGAAGTGTTGTTCAGCATTATCAGAGATCAGTCCAAACAAGAAGCAAGGCTTTGTGGTACTAAGAGCTGGAATAAGGAGTTCTTCTAGCAGCCCTCATACTTAGGTTTATAAGCTAGAGCTTCCAGAGCCCCTTCCTGGACTGAGCTGCAGCACATCTATGGCTTCTGAAAGAATTCCTCCTGATGAGGAGGGCCCTACAAAGAATCATTTAGTCACGAGGAGCCTTTGTTTCTAGACAAGCACTCCTTATGGAGGTTGTTCAGGTTTGCTTTTTGAGATGCCAATGCTGATTTCCCCTTGTTTGTGGGGATGGGTTGGCAGCTTTCCTCCCTGAGAGTTCAGGCTCCTCCTACTTTTAAGGCATGGGCTGCTTGATGCTGTTTCTCTCTGGGAGTTCTAACTCTTTTGAAGCGGATTTCTCCATGATGGGTGTGATAGATGTGGAAGGGCTCTGCTTCCAGGAGGTACCTTCACCTGATCTTCAAGAATATTCCTCTGGTGTAGAAGTTGATCGTTGTTAGAAATGATTTTACATTTGAACTTTTAAGAACACGAATTTAATTCTTTTGGATGGACAGGTATCTGGACTCAGTGATTTGTCAGCTTTAAACTTCTCAAGAAGGTCTAGAATTTAATCTTGTTAAGACTGTTTGCATTAGTTCCTGGGACTTTCTTCCTGAAAATCTCAGTTGTGGCAGTGGTATCTGCCCCAAAGATAAACAAAAATAACCCATTCCACTTCTTTGCTATCTCTTTAGCCTCCTCTAAATCTAGTATCAAATGTTTCAACTGCCCCCTTAGCCATTTTCCTGTTTGAGGTATTCCTAGGTGTATATCACTAACAACAGCAAGGCAAACAAGTCTTCAAACACCTTTTTGCATCCTTTGTTTTCCTTCAAAAGAAGTTCTAAGATCTGTATTTGTATAACAGGGCTCTGGCATGACTCAGGATTTGGTGAAGGCTTAGAAAATCAGTACAAAGAAGGAACCCAAGCCATGAGCGCATACATACACACTTACAAATAGTTGGAGGTCACGTGCTGAGAGCAGATTAAAAAGAAGATATTACTTTGTATGACAGGCACACTCGTTGCAAATTTTTTTCAGCAGAGACATTGTGCAGGCTTTTGTGACATTTCAAGAGGTCATTTGTTCCAAATTAAGGGGACAAAACATGAGTGCAGACCCTTTGACAGGAATGTTGAATCACTTTCAGCCCAAGGACCAAATTCCATTTTGGAGAGGTTCTTGGGGATGTAGCAGTGGGCAGGACCAAAATTACCAGCATATTATAGTTTAAAGCTGAAACTGCTAGTAACTAAGCTTTAGGAGGTACATTTCAAACTTTCAGAATGGGGAAAAACTACACAGAAGCTGGAGAAAAGGACAATGGTTGGGGAAAAGAAGGGATTTTCTGCAATCCAACCTGTGAGGAACCTCAGAGGGCCAAACTGGCATATCTGGAAGATTAGGTTTCATCCAGGGGCCTATAATTTCACATACTTGCCCTATGGGAAACACTTTTAGCTCTTTCAATAAGTGACTGGCTCTAGGCATAACATCCTTTTTGTGTTGGTAAAAGTGTGAAATGACAGCATCTAATTGGGCCCCACCCATTTTTTGCTGGGCTTATGTCATCACCAATGGTTGCATGCTATTTAAATCAGGTGTCCTTCTTACATTCACTAGTACAAGGCAAAACACAGCTTTTACTCCTTACACCATTCTATTATTCAGTATGGCCCAGTACAAATTATACTTTTCTCCCCCAAAAGCATACAATTTCATATTAAATTCCATCTTACCTTACTGTCAGTACCTTTAAGGTATGGCCTTAAAAGGAGGAACATTGCTTTGTAGCAAAGTATTTCTGTGTTCTTGAGAGGACTTCCACATCACAGAGCGAATACAATTCAGTAGTGATTACTGTTAGTAACATAAATAAAGCAACTTCCCAATGTTTTTCAAGACTTCAAGCTCATGAAGTCAAAATGAAAATAATTTTTAAGAAAGATCTTCCACCCTATGGCAAGAAGCACAGTCTTATTTAATGGTTTTGGAAATGCTGTTCTTGATTAAACGAGGTATACTGTAAAACTTTCAATTTAATAGTAAATGATGTCATTATTCAGAAATGAGAGCTGGTCACATTTACAAAATACACAACATTGTTTATTGAAAACAGGCATTTTACAAAACATGTGGTACAGAGAAAAGAGTCAAGAATAAATAGTCATTTTGTTTAAAAAAATAAAATATCTGCAAACCAAACAGGTATAAACTAGTTTAACTAATAAACACTTCTGTACAGTAGTGTCAAAAACCAGACCCTAAAAAGTGACCATTCAGGCTGATGTAACTTTACTTGTGAAGGAAGAAAAGAAAGTGTGCAACGGTCCTATATCTGGAGTGTTAGCAAGCCTAAGAATTTTCAATTTAAAAAAAAATAAAAACAATGCTCAAAGCCCAAAAGCTTAAGAAATCATCTAGTTCCCTTTTCTTGGAAAATGAGTGTCTTCACGATACCTTTAAATTTTTAAACTTTATTCCCTATGCTAAATTAGTATGCAACCATCTGTGTACCTTTAAAACTAACTAATAAATACTTTACATGCAACAGACCTGCTGTAAAACACAAATAACCATTTCAAAGGGTCAACACAAGTTTATAGGTACTAACTAATTAAGCCCTAAATCTTACAAATTATATGCATTTGACTGGTGATGCAGATAGATCAAATGCCCAGTTTCAAGATCAGGATGACTCAAGCATTTTCTGACTATTATTGGAGTTCTTATAGGGAGTTGTCAGTGTGATGCTATTTTGAAATTGGTTAGAGTCATATAGATATCTTATCACCAATAAACCATACTGTTTACCCAACATTGTATCACCTGGGTTTTAAAGCTAAGCCTATAAGTGAGGATGGAAGTGGCCAAGTCCCCTTTCCACACATTATCACAAAAGGGTATTCTTAGAGCCACATGCTACATCACAAGTTATAAGCAAGCCAAAGAAACTATTCCAAACCACACCAGGAATAGAAGATGTAGTTATTTTGTTCATATTGGTAAGAGGATGGAATGAGAGAAACGTTTTTGTTGCAAGACGGTAAGCAGTAAAGTCATCCATGGTTTGCTTGAGCCGAAGTATATATCTGCATATCAAGCTGGCACAGAGTGAACATGTACACCATACATCTTTCTCTGTTAAGTGTTCTTCAGAATTGTGCAGACACAGATCAATTATACTCCCTAGAAGTGTTATTTCAGTAGTAGGTTTTTTAAATGTTTCTTCTCAATATTACCATGAATGGAAAGGGAGGTAAATTTATTTACAGCGAAAACCAGGTGGGACACTGAATAATTCACTGTGCTCTTTGTTTGAAGATGGACTGGGGCATTTGCACAAAAACAAGATTCAATGGTTTTGAAGTTCTATTGGTATAAGTTAATTTTACAAAATTCTCTAAGAGTTGAAGCTCATGTTTTCCATAAACATATTCCTGCTGAGTCAGGGTTCCTTTGAATAAGTGCTTTTAAAATCAAGGCTAGGACTGCTTATATCAGATCACAGTTTCTAGAGTTGTTTTTGAGTGATAGATATCGGGTCGTGGTGTAATGCATAACCATTCCATTCGTCAGATGTTGGATCAAAATGTGCTTGGAAGTGGGATTGTGGAGAAAGGGCAGAAGGAAAAAATGCTGCTTGGCTGGTACATCACTGCAAAAAAATTATTTGATCTGTCTAACCTTAGCCATGGCATTTCCAAATTTTACCACAACAGAAGATGTACATAGTCTTCAATCAGTTGGTTTTCTAAAATTCAACTCCATGGTTCAACATTTAGAGGTTTACAGCTTTTATGGTTTTTAGTAACATCTAGCCAATTCTTTAAAACATTTAGACACAAACTAATGGGAACAGATACAGCTATTGGAAACTTTGGCAAACCTATCAGAAGTAATTTGGAATATAGCCAAACTTTCACATTTTAAATTTTTATATAACATCTCATGTTCATTTTGTGTATTTCTAGAGAAAATATTTGAACTTTCTCATTCATTCTTGGCTCAGTAAGTCTGCTTTCACATTCAAGTATTAGGACAATGCAGCTGAACAGGGATATGTATCTTGATAGTATAGTCTACAAAGAAGCATAATGTTAACCATTCTGCAGTATATTCTACCCCAAATCCCAGAGGAAATGTTTTTGACTTTGGGATCTGTAGCTTGCTTCCAAAGATAGTGAAGATCTTCTACATGTCCATGAGAGGTCATCATTTTGTTGTAAATGCAAGGATGATAAGGAGCTTTACCTTCCCCAGAAAAAAACAGATGATACTGTGGTACAATTCCCATTTTGTTGGCACAGAGACCCATGAAAACATCATCTATATAAAGGCTTGAATTAAGAGTCTGTGAGGCTGCATATACTTTAGCTGCGACATCGCTTGATATTACATATGCAGCGCCAGCTGTATAATCAGGATAAGCAGGCCATGGATACATTTCATGGGGAACATAGTATTTACTTTTCTTATCTCTTACGGGAGGTGATCCACGATGGACACGCCCAATCCAAAGATTCTGAACTCCAACTTCTGATAGATTTTGTAGGTATGCAACCAGGTTTGGCATGTGGATAAAAATGTCATCGTCTGCTGACATAACGAACTTGGCATGGGGGCAGAACGTATTCACCCAGCTGAACTGCATGAGTAATTTGTGGGTAAGATTGTAAAATGTATCCAAGAAGTCTTGTTGAATCAAATCCCCATACAACTTATCTTCCATGTGAAGCATCCTTTGCATTTGGTCTCTTTGTGCATTGTCTCTTGGCTGCCCTAAAACAAATAGGGTCTTTATATTGGCCTTAAGATAATAACGAACATACTGTTCATTGCCCCATGTCTGCCGAATTGCATCTCTCCTGTGGCGGTTTTCAGGTGAAGTCTTCACAAACAGCAGAAGGAGAACATCTTGCCGCTGACATTTCTCCCTATGGTTGATCAAGTATTGATAGCCTGCTACCTTATTCAGGTTGTCCCTACTAACAGATAGACTTTCATTCACGAAAGAGTAGCTATTTATGAGGTATCTATACGAATAAGATTTCATGTGACTCACAATGCTACTGTCATCAAATGGTCCCCAAAAAATCATGAGACATAGTACAAAGCAAGTGGCAAATAGCTGCACAAATTGGCATTTCCTAACTCTTCTAGGATTAACATACATTCTGATACAGTATTTTAAGTCTAGTTCCAGTTAAGGATTGTTCAAGCAGAGTTCTTGTGAGACAGTTCACAATCTCTCCTTCAGAGGAAGTGTTCATGGTAGAGGCATCCTTCTCTCAGACAGTAGCTTTAATAAAATTTCCATACATTGACTTGTGCAAGTCATCTTGACTCAGAGGCTGTTTTGTTAGCAGAGAAGGAATGCATAAGAGTCTGGACAGCAGCACTTGTTGAATATACACTGTCCTCTGCTGCATCTTCAGCTGATCTAAATATCAACAGAATGATCTGCAAAATACAGGAAGTGAAAAACTTCAGCAAAGTTTAATTTCTCTTTAAGAACAGTTTCTAATCCCCTATAAGACCCCATCGAGCAGAATAAGAGAAGTATAATTACTCTAGACTTAAGAGATCAGGCTTAGAGCCAATTCATATGAAGTCAAGAGCCAAGTAGTTGCTACTTCCCCAGGGCTGAAACGTGTATGATTCTAGAAACATTTAAATAAGAACCACATTGTTAAGGCATATAACAAGGTTATTTTCCATACAGCATCACTAGAACACAGGATAGGGTTATTACTGCCAACAGCCTGCTCAACTAACATGCTAAGAATCTTGTCCAGAATTTTGTGCCCACAGTAGCCAACCAGATGCATATGGGAAGCTCAGAAGCAGGGCATGAGCTAGAACTGATACTCAGAAGCATACTGCCTTCACTATTACAGATAATATAAAATCATAATGACTAGACTGAGGAGACTGATAGCCTTATGAGAGCTACGTAGGAAGGAGTCATTAGGGTGTGCACATGAATGAGTGTTTTCTTACATCTTTCTGCAAACCACTGCTTTTCCTCTGCAGCCCATTCTGGCTAAATTTTAGTGGAAAACAAGTGAGGAAGTGTTAAGGACACATACCTCTGGCCTGCCACTTGGAACACCTACAGTTTTGTGGACACCTGGTTTCCAAGACAGTGCTTGGTTCAATTTGTTTGCCTCAGCTACACAGCCACCATTCTACTCACAGAAGTCGACTGGACTAGCAACAGAACTTGATTTCAACACTGGTGACAAGACAATGTCCACCACCACACAAGGGAAGCAGCATAATGTACGGGGTATAGAGCCAGCTGCAAGGCACATGTACCATACTCCCACCTGCTGTTCACTCAGACAAATGCTCCAAAGCAATGGAGCAGCGTTGGAGCAGCATGGTGCATGCACGATGTCTCCTGAAGCGCATGGCCTGGGCTGTCAGCCTGCTTGTTCAGGGATCTCTCACAACAGCACTATCTAAGACACACTGGAAGGAGGCGGCTAACTGAGACAGCCAACCAGCCCAGGCCGGCAAGCAAGCAAGCCCTGGTACTGCATGGTGAGGGGAAAAGATGGGACATGTGTCCAACATCTGCAACCCAAGGCCACTACCTCATCTGAATAAAGCAACCCAATGTTCTGCCTTAGCTCTTGCCTTCTGCTCATGCCATTTGCATTTCCATTAATGTTTTTCTAATGTGTTCTGGGAAGAAAGTCACCAATCATCTCCTCCTTCATGAAGCATCACTAACCAGGGTTGGGCAAAGTATTGGTCTTGGAGGATTAGTGTTCCCCCTTTGCTGACCAGTGTAAACTATATCCACAAAATCCATTAGTATTGCCATCTTAAAATGGGTATTGTGTTGTCTAGGCAATTAAAATTTTCTTGGTTAATGCCTTTTCCTGCTATTCACAGCCTTTCATATACAATGCTGCCTACATATAATTTGAGGGAAAGCTGAACTGCAAAGGTAGGAGGGAAGAACTGGTGCCCCTCCAGATGGTTAGACTGCATTGATTAGTCCAAGCTAACATGGTCAATGCTCAGGGAAGATGGAAACTGTAGTCCAGCAATGTATGGAAAGCCACCTCTTCCCCACTCCTGGCACAAGGAAATACATGATAGTATCAAATAGGTCTCTTCAAAACATGGTGCTCATTACAATAGTTGTTTTAGCTCTCATGCTAATATTTTCAAGTGTGCACCCATTGAAGGATCCATACTGAAATCCAAGTTTCAAAGAAAAAAGCTGAACTCAAAATGGTGTTTCCACGAAAAAAAATATAAAGGCAAGTGCCCTTTTTTCAAGCGGCAATAAAGTGTTCAAATGCCCTAATGCAATTCTGTACAAAGGCCCACTGTTTGAAATTAGTGTTGTTTTGTTGACCTGAAGTTTACAGAAACAACGTAGTTTGCAGTTACAGGACATCTATTTGTTAGAGAAAAGGCCTGTTTATAAACAAACATCCAGTAGCAGAAACAAACAGTCTGTACACAGCCTTTTTGCCTCAGGACGAAGCTCTGCATATTAGGAGGAGGCTGGTATGGACGCCGTGATGGAGAGGGACAGCAATGGGCACTTCCATTCACAACATGCTTGCTATTCTCCACTTGGCCCTGTGCTTGAAACACACAACAGAGCACAGGGGGCAGCTGCTGCTCTGTGACGGTGCCCACTCTACTGAATATAGTCTTACACTTAGGAAGGTTAGGGCCAAATCCTTGCCTTCCTATCCTAGGAGGGGCAAGAAGAGAATTGGATCTCACAGAAATGGCCTTCCCAAAATATCAAGGGCTCGCCAAGAAGGGCAATCCCTGCCTTTTGGGGAGCCCTGTTGAGAAATCAGGGATGCCTCAAAAGAAGATCGTGCGAGGCCCGGTTGTCTGAGGCCAAGAAGCCCAGCCTCTAAGTGTTGGGGGAGCCATGGTTTCCCTCAGCAGCTACGGCATGAAGAAAGCCCTTCTTCCCTGAGTGAGGAAGCTTCCCTCCACATTATAATGCCGGAATGGAGAGAAGTGTAAAAACAACCTTCCCTTTGTATATAAACACTCCCTCCGGACCGTTTGGTGTGAGAGGGAGGGAGGGCCAAGGGGAAACAGCTGCTCTTCGCCTCAGGCGATTTAATATGGCTGCTCACAGTGCGCCAGAACCCTCTGTGGCTTAGGTGCTAATAGGTACTAGAAGAGTGGGGATTTAGGATGAAGGCGAGGTAGGTATTTCTGCATGCTGCCTGTAGGTGATTCATGGGGCCCCAGTGGAGTGCAGTGAGTATCATCGGCCTGCTGTCTGAGGGTGCAACACGCTACCTCGGGGTGCAAAGAGGGCAGCCGTTACGATGATGATGATGATTTCCCTGCCTTTCAAATTTGGGGTGGCATGTGCCAGGTGAACCCGTTCATTTCAGTCCCCCTCAAACTGGGCAAGCTGACAGGACGAGGGGAAGGAGGACACCATGACACCTCAGAGCCAGTCAGATAGGAGAGATGAGGAAGAGTCCCCATCTGTCCTTCCCTGCCCTTTTTCCCTCTGAGGGAAGACTTGTTCCCTCCCCAGAGTCTCTCTTTTAAATATATAGCAATATGGCACTGCGCAGTGAGTACAGAAGTAATGGCTGAATTCATTTAGGACACAATCCTAGCCAGAAAAACGGTCTGCAAGGTACAGCATGTGGGCAATTCTGTAGGCTCCAGGCCCTTCTTCTGTGTGAACCTGCATAGGATCACACTTCTGCCCTTTGTCCCCAAAAGGGAGTGTTTGGTGTGAAACCAGAACCTATTTAAAGCTGCCCAATTAAAAAGGCTTAAGGAAAACCCCAAGCAAGACTGTAGTTTCCTTATCCACCCTCCATATCATCAGATGTGCTGACTTCTATTGCTACCAAATTTTAAAATAACTGCAATTAAAAATCACCGTGCTGCCCTTTGTGTGGTTTTGCCTTAACTACTCTTTCTCCCAGAAACATCACTTGCTGCTTATTTATTATGTTCACAACCCTAAGTGAGTTAGAAAAAAGGCCTACAACTCCCAGCATGCCCCAGGCAGCAAAGCAGAGATCTGTATGCTTTTTTTCAGTCTTGCATAGGATTGTGTCTTAAAAGCAATCATCTTTGAAATAATTGCACCATTGTTTGCATCTTGTTCACTACACTGCATTTTAAGGTTATTGGTATCATTATTGTTTGGACAGGAAGGCCTCAGCTACACTTGCACTCAAAGTGTCTTTTCTCTATAGGATTTTTTAAAGCCACCTTGATCCAGAAACTGCAGTTTTCACAATCAGGAACTATAAAAATACTCCCAAAACAACAAAAAGCAACTAAAGCAATATAACAGCAGAATCACCCCATGGGAATGTAACCAAGTCTTGTCAGTCAAGCCCAAAATAGCAGGTCAATATTAACACCAAATGCAGCAATTAAATTTTACCAAATAGTTTAAAAGTTTCTCTTTACCCACAGAGTTATTCCTTCTATCGCTCACTCCATCATGCAAGATTGTGAAAGGAAAGCAGCACAACCACCAAATCTCATGATTATCAGTTTGATTTTAACCAAAAGAAAATGGGGGAAAATCAGGGACACCCAGCATATATTCTGCATTCCACCAATCATTCTCATTTACAACCAATTGCATCACCAGCATCCCCTTGCATTAATTCTCCCATATCTATAAGCAGCCAGTAGAAAGTTGTGGCATACACCATCGTCCCTTACTAATAATGCCCCTTATTAACACGAAGAGGTTTTTTTGGTCCCAAAATGCTGGCAAAACAGCAGCCTGGCCACTATAGTCCCTGCTCCTCTACCCCAGTGTTCTTGTACCTGGAATTCACACTGAAATGTGGGTTTCAGCCACCAGATTGGGATTGCCAGGCACCACCAGGAATGCTTGCATATACTTCCTGGGACAGATTGCAACTTTTCTTCTATGCTCTTCCATTGCACAAATCCTTGCACAGTTTGTGCAAATTGCACAAATTTGTTGTACAAGTTGCACAAATTCTTCCAGCATCCAATATAACAAAGTCAGTTGCTAGAGAATGGGTACTTTTAACAGGCAATGCATGCACTAAAGTTATGCAGGTGTGCTGATGGGATTTGTTTGCATTCTAAATATAATTAGGGCAGAACGCAAACAGGGAACAGCTTTACAACTCTGACACACATAAGAGAAACCAACTCAAAGAATCTAGGTGATGCTTGTTTCTGTCCTTGTCCGAAGACATAGCTTTTTAAAAAGTGTCACCATTGCTTTTTTACCCTGGAGAAACAGGCAAATCTCATGGTTGTTGTTAGTTGCAAAGTCGCGTCCGACCCATCGTGACCCCATGGACAACACTCCTCCAGGCCTTCCTGTTCTCCACCATCCCCCGGAGTCCACCTAAGCTCACGCCGACTGCTTCAGTGACTCCATCTAACCACCTCATTCTCTGCCGTCCCCTTCTTTTGCCATCTATTGTTCCCAGCATTAT